CGTTTCTTTTTTGATCCCATGGAAATCTCCACCTCGCATCTTTCATCTTCCATCATCCATCCTTCAAAGAGATTTGAGATTTTACTGCACAACAGCATTTGTTGCTTATTCTGTTCTTTCATTCTTTCATTCTTTCTGCTACAATTTGTCTCTTCAGTGTCTTGCCAGCACCTTGCCATTCTTATTCACCACCACAAGCGGCAGCCTTCTCCCGTGCACCACCGCCCGATTCACGACTCCTTCATCGTCCCAGCTAAAATCGACCGTTCCACCTCCTCTCAAACTCCCTCCTTTCACGCTTCCACCAGCCCATTCCTTGGGAACCGCCGGTCCAAGAATCACCTTCTGAACGCTGTTGTCGCCCCATTTCTTGGGCAGGTCGGTATACAGCATAGCCAGCGCATTCGCTGAAAGACCAAAGTTGGCGTCGATCTGGAAGGGCAGAGTCACTTCATACGGCCAGCTGCCAGTTGTATACACCGACAGTCCGTTGGCTGCAAAGTTCATGTCGATAGTGTACTTGAGCTCTTTGTATGCCTCGTCGGTGACACCAAGTTGGCCCCAGCACGCTCCTCGCCAGACCTTTTCCCAGCCCGTGTTAGAGTCTTCGGTGCCGTTTCCGCGAGAGTATAAGCTGGTGGCGACGGCATCCATGACCGTCTTGTTGTCTGCATAGACACTGGAGATGACATATCCGGGGTAGAATCCGTACAGGTGAGACAAGTGACGATGCGTGTCGTTTTTAGTGTCAATGTCCATCTTCCACTCTGAAGGGGGGTTAGCTCAGTCTCCTTGTCTGTCTCCTTGATACGGGTCAAAACACTTGCCTTGAATCTGGCCCCAGCTTCCAACATGGACGCCCGGATCAAGTTTACTGTACGACTCTTTGACCCGCTTCAAAAATGCCGTGTCAGTATCGCCCGATGCATCCCAGTCTTTGATGATGTGGTCAAAGAGTTCCCAGACCACCTGCTGGAACTGAGCACATCCGAACGTCTATCACGGATTTAATCAGTATCCTCTCTATATAATTAGATGAGTCAACTTACCGTTGGACCGTGCTCTGGTGAGTTGCAAGGGTTGGCAACCAAGGTGCCGTCCTTGAAGTATTCGTCCGGCACCATCATGTCGACCCAGAAGCTCGCCACACCCTTCATAAGAGGGTATCCCACGGAAGCATACCATTTCTTGTCGCGGCCATAGTCGTAACGATCCCACACATGTGCCACTATCAAATGTGATTAGCAATGTCTTCCCATTCTCTGCTGTCACCAACGATTAGACACATACTCATCCACGCAATGTCGTGTGCGACATTCGACCAAGTTGCGTCGTTTTCCTGCCTACTCAATGTCAGAAGGATAGTCCCCAATAAATGTGCTTGATTACTCACGCCGTATGGCCAAAAATATTGGTATTAGTAAAAGCAACCCAACCGCTCACGTTGTACCATAGGTTCGCCGTCTCCGTCCCACGAGGAACCCAAGTGTAGGTCATAAAGTCCCAAAGAGGATCAGTTAGGCCGCCCAAACCCATCTTTTCGACATGCCAGTGGTTCCTAGCGAATTTCTGTTAGTAAACACCAGATGACGAAGTTCAGACAAGGTAATTACTTACATCTGCACATTGACATCGATATGGTAGTCGGAGCTCCACGCCGGGTTTCCATCCGGAGCCCATGAACCCTGCAGATTCGGGGGCAGCGATCCAGGCCGCGACGAAGCGATGAACATGTACTGTCCATATTCAATCAACAGATTCTCAACAAAAGGGTCTCCCTTTTCTGTCGTGTAGTTTGTGATCAAATCCATCGTGTCGACGTCTGCAGAGTTATGGGGATCAGGGAGATCCAAAGTGAACTTGTTAAACCACTCGCCATGGTCTTTAACGTGGCTTTGAAGGATCGTGTTGTAGTTCTTCTTAGACACAGCGCTGACCGTCTTTACGACGCCAGGATACGGATCTGCTCCTCGGAAGGAGTAGTTGTGAGCAGCATTGCCCTTGGTTGCGTCGTACTCTGTGCCCGAAGCCACGACGATAGTGACCGACTTTACAGACTTTGTGCTAAGAACAGTCTGGCCGTTGCTGTTGCATGTGGCTTTTAGTCCAGCAGAAGGAAGAGCACGAGCCTGGGCATCAATCTTCATGCCAATAAGACCTTCGCCGTCGTCGGCCACGGTTCGTCCGCTCAGCCAGATGCCGCTAGACGAACATTTGACAGTGGAAGGCGGGTTGGTGCGATAATTATCGACTAAACCAAAGGTGATTTGGGGTAGTGGTTTGTTGGAGCTGACGTGGTAGACGCAGACTTGATCGGGAAAGGAGCAGAACTGCACACTAGACGCAGGAGTAAGTACAGAGATCTGAAAGGAGATGATATATCACGTACGTCGAAAAAGTAGCTCCGTTTGCAGTGAATTCGGCGCTGTGCAATGCTGTTTCCAGATCCAGCGTTCTCTTGTACTTTGAGTACTTGGTCACTCCCGCAATGGAGACTGTGAGGTTTGCAAGGGCTTCATAGGAGCCGTAGTCTGCTGACCCGCCGTATAATGCAGATTCATCTGATGATATGGGTTAGTGGCATCTCTTAATACGCTCGCTTGTATTGGCAACATGCCTCCTGTTCCATTCTGGAAGATGGCCTCCTGGATTCCAGGCAAGAAGTGAGCCAGCGATGATGAAGGGTTTCCTCCTGTGTAGCTCTATTTGCGTCTTAGTTGCCCAGTCTATGTAACCATTCTAGAGCCATCATGTCTTACCGAGTTTGCAAACGGTCCACCGCGCCAGATGCTATCATCGTTAAGACAAAGCAAGTCGTCACCAGGAATACCCAGCGGCAAACCTATATGGCTGTTCGTCAGTCACCTGCAACTACAATTCATTCATCTGTCAATTCAGCAAAACTCACCTCCTTGTCTCCCATTACCAATCGTAAATCCAGTCATCAACACATTCCCCGGATCAGCCGGCTTCGAAGTCCAAAACTTCCTCGCCGCCACGCCAGTCTGGCTCATGGCCAACGCGGCCACAACAGCAACCTTCATATTGACGAATTTCTCCAATCAATCGAAAAGGCACAAAAACCTCTTTAACCATCAAAATCAAACTCATCATCGTAAAAAGTTTGCCTTGTTTTTATACGTAGCCATCAATGTCGAGCCGACGGGTATTTTGGCCTGCCGCTGCGGGGATCGTCAATGGCATGATGATGCTTCTCCACGTACATGTACCTTTGTGAGCAACGCAAACAACTGCCGTTCCGGGAGAAGTATCTGCATAGACCTACATTCTGGGGATTCGATTCTTGGTAGAAAGGGCTGCTGCTCTCGTAGCTTGAAAATCGGGGCCTCGGACGAATCTCATGAGGCCAAGATCGACACTGCCGGCACAATCGTCCCCCCGCAATTTGGGTGGTGCATAATTGTCCGTGTTTGCGGGGAAGTTGTGAGTGCATCATGCCATCCGGGGAAATTTCCGGGCCAAGAGATGAGGATGAAAGGATCCTTTTTGTCTTGGTCATTGTTGCCGGGTTAGGAGGGCAGCAGTGAACCGGATGGGGGGAGTGTTTGGAGATGGGGGATGGGGATGGGGATGTTCAGCCTTGCAGTGTGGATCGCATGGCTGCCTGCAGGGTAACGCAGCAGCTCCTGAGTGCATACATATGTAGTCGGTTGGGAATCTGCGTATAGATTTAGTGTAACCCAGATTCGTGTTTAGGGGGTTTCAGATGGAGGATGTATTCAGAAGAGCGTGGGTATGTAGTAAGACGCTGTCATGTTTCCAACCGCTTGTCCATAGGCGTAAGGTAGGTATGACTCGATGGGCTATGTAGGATGTCTCAAGGGGCTCTTGATATACACCTATCTCTCCCCAGACACTTCTAGCTGGGCATCTCCCGATCACTCTCTTCATAATAGCATTCGGATACTGCTAAAGGTGTTTCCTTCATCATCACTTCTTTCTACTGCTCTCTAAGTACGTGAGAGAATCTGTAAATACACTGCAACGTGTCATTTGTGCTGAAACAGTATGCTTTCTCTCTCGTATATCATAAGCTATTTAATTCGAACAACTTGACTGACAGTCTTGCTTATGCTTGTCAACATCAATAATGCAATAAAGATGGCGCTGGGATACCATCGAGTACCAGTCTCCGCGACTTGAAAGCCAGCCCCTATCCAAGGGCCGCCTCTCATCCCATTACCCATCCCAACTCGTCCAATACCAGGCTGAAATCATTTCCGCACTCGAACAAACTCATATCGGCATCCATCATGCTTCATGTCGTCATTGCCCATAACATCGAACCGAATCATTAGAATCACTGTGGTATATCCCCCCTTTCCCTTTCCCTTTCCCGCTCAGCCTCAGCCGCCTTCTCCTCCTCCTCCGTCCTCTTGTCAAAGTGAGCCTTGCACTTGTGTCTACACTCAGCACACGGCTTCGTATCAACCACATACGTCAACTCCACCATCCACCCCAGCAAGTCCCGGAACGGACATTTCCAGTCGGGCGCGGCGTCCTGCCCGAACCTCTCCTTGCGCTTCTCACACGTCGTCCCGGAGTTCGGAACAGGGGCCTGCTTGGCCGTCTTGTGACGCCACATGCCGTCCCAGAAGACGATCCGGTTCCTGGCCATGGCGCAGTCCTTTTCGTACGGACATGGACAGAGGACGTGGCACCAGAAAAAGGTACACATGGTATGGTTTTTTTTTTCTTCACGATTGGGCAATTAGCCTATTTGGCTGCCGCTGGCCGAGATTCGCGTGCGGGGCGATGCGAGTCTGGAGCCGGAGTTTGGCTGTGACATTCCCTGACGATGTTTTCTGGGGAGGATTTTCTGGAGCTGTTTCTTTTTGGGCGCATGAGGATGGCCAGCGCTGGGGGGAGGAATTGAGGATATCAAGACTTCGGGATGGTGAGAAAAAAGGAGAGAGGAGTGAGCCTGTGGCGGTTAAGGAGAGAAAGGGGAAATGATTTACGATGGACTGCTGCAAGGCATCAATAGTAATGCGTGCGACGCGACAAGTTGCATTGGAAATTGAAGAGGAACCAACAGCGTCAGGAAAAAATAATCACCGGGTCGGCGATAAAAGAAAAAAACAAGAGACCTGAAGAATGTAATATGAATGAATGATAGCCTCATGATGCTCCAATTGAATCTGCCATTGCTGTCCAGTAGGTGAAATCGACAAGACGATTCAACAGAAGACGCAACGCTCTGCCTGTATTTTTTTTTCTCACTCGAAGCCGGATCTCAGCAGCACAAGTACCTGCAAGTATCACCTGTCTGCGGGCGGGATTGAGGCTTTTTCACAGCTGAGCGCAGTTGAGGCTAAATATAGAAATGTGAGAGAAAAAATCCATATGCAGTGGACGATTGTCGATTTATTTCGCATACAAGCCAGGCGGGCTGCCGACACGGGCTACCGCATATGTACATGTGCAGCGCAGTCACGTTGTCCCTCCACTCTGCCTGTCACTCTGTAAATGAGCTGTCAAACCACAATCAACGCATATCGCACAGCAAACAAACAAACAAACTCAATCAGTCACCAACAAACAAAATTGAATAGAACAGGAACAAAACACCAAGTACAGTATCAACAGTTTATCCCTTTTTTGATAACACGTTACATGGACGCTTCTAAAAACAGCTCCCTCCCTTCCCGGGGGCTCAACTCCATTCCGACTCGGAGCGCCAGAATAAGCCCTTACAGAGCGGGCGTGTCAGCATACTGGTTAAAGGCCACATCCCGGTCGCCAGCAACTCCGAGGTTCTCCACCAGCTTCCGGATCTCACCGGCCTCGTCCGGAGTCAGACGAACGTTCTGAGCGCCGAAGTTGTCGTCCATGTACTTGGTCTTCTTGGTGCCGGGAATGGGGAAGATGTCGTCGCCCTGAGCCAACAGCCAGGCCAGCGCCAGCTGAGAAAGGCTGCAGCCCTTCTTCGCGGCCACCTCCTTGAACTTGTTGAGCAGCTCCAGGTTCTTCTTGAAATTGTCGCCCTTGAACTGCTCGACGCTGTTTCGGTAGTCCGTCTTCTCCAGCTCCGCCGTGTTGGTGTACTGCCCGGTCAGCATTCCGCGGCCGAGGGGTGAGTATGCGATGGTGGCGACGCCCAGCTCGCGGCAGGCCTTGAGGAGATACTTGGACACAGGGCCTTCCGTCTCAAGAGCCCAGGCGGAGTACTCGATCTGGACGGCGGCAATGTGGTGAACGGCGCATGCTCGACGGAGACTGTCTCCGGAGATTTCAGAGAAGCCAAAGTACTTGATCTTGCCCTCGCTGTTGACCCCCCCTTGATTAGTATAATGAACATCGTTAACAAGATCAGACAGGTGGGCTTCCTACTTCTTGAGTTCGACCATGGCCTGGACCGTCTTCTCAATGGGCGTCTTTCCGTCAACTCGGTGCGCATAGTACAGGTCGATGTAGTCAACTCCGAGCTTCTTCAAGCTCGCCTCGCAGGCCTTCTTGGCGTATTCAGGAGTGCTGTTGACGGTTCCCTTGTAGGTGCCGTCCGCCTGGACCTCTGCCGAAATGCCAAACTTGGTGGCCAAGAAGATGTCGGCACGACGCTCAGGGTGCAGCTTGAACCACTTTCCGATGAGAATCTCAGAGTCGCCGTAGGCATCCGAGGTGTCCCAGTGAGTGCAGCCAATCTTCCACGCGTGGTCGAGCACGGCAAAGCGTTCCTCGTCGTTGCTGAATACATCTTGTTAGTTGAAGTGAATAGCTAATCCTGTCGGGTTTTCTTTACCCAGTGGCGCCATAGCAGTCGATACCGATGCCCATGAGACCGAATCCGACGGGAGGGATTTCGGGGCCATTCTTGCCAAGCTTCTTCAAGACGGTGGAAGGCATTTTGAAAAAAAGAGGAAAGCTGATGTGAGACTGTTAGAATTCTTTTAGAATGATGAATATGATATCAATGAAGCTGTTGGATTGAAGCTAGTGCTGGTGATCTGGGAGATGGCGGTCCGGCCACACCAGTTTATATACGCACAGATTGATGTCGAGAAGACACAGACGACAACTTGTGAGACTGATATTCTAAGCAATGTTGTGTTTTGCTCCAGCTTGATCGTCACTCCTCACCAACGCCAACGCCGCATACCAACGCGGCATCCCACATCACATCACATAACGTTATGGCCACCGACTCGTTTCGCAGGGAAATCCGCACAACTGGAAGCGTCGAGAATTACCACATTGGACTACGACCGCACGAGAGCTGCAAACGCCGCTATGTCCGACTCCTCACTACTAATCAAGTCACATCAAGCCCCCTTTCGAGGCACGAATCATATAAATACTATATCCGAAAACAGCACCCAAAAAACCAGTGCCGGCTTCAACTCCGGGCTCAGCTCCGGGTCCGTCCCCTCAGGCCCTGGGCGGAGTAGCGGAGAAGTGGGTCGCTTCCGGAGCAAGCAAACAGGCGGCTCTCGCATGATTTAATTTGTCTTACTGCGACAATTTAAATATTTGTCATCTCCGGCCTCACAATCAGGAGCGACGGTCAACCATCCAATGTTATCACAAGAGAGACAAATTGAAGACAAATCAGTTGATCCATCGCCAATCAATCTTCCGTCGAATCACGCTGTCCAAGGGCACACACTTTTTGAATCCTTCGTTTCTAATCATGAGTGCGAGTAGCGGCATGGCGGCGGATACGATTGCGGATACTGGCGTAGAGGCTCCTACGAAGCGACGGCCCGGTCGTCCACGTATGAAGGACAGCCTGCCCGCGGATCCAAACGATAATTCGGTGAGTGGGAACGAAAGCGAGCCAACGGCCAAACGAGGAGCGAAGAAGCGAGCCAACAATTTCCCCTGTCTCCCCTCTACAAAATCAAGGCAAGGCGCTAGAGGAGAAAGAAAAACATTCAAAATGGCCTCGTCTCGCTGCTTTGTTGCTGCTCCTTGTGTAAATCAACAAGTGTTGTAGAGAAAAAAGAAGAAGACGAAGAAGAGAAAAAAAGAGAAAAAAGAAATGCACATACACACACTCACACAGAAAGAAAAAGACAAGAAGAGAGAGAGAAAAACAAAACAAGAGAAAACTGAATACTAACACTGCCCTCTTTCTTCATCACAGCGTCGGTCTCGAATGAGACTCGCTCAGCGGTCCTATCGCAGCCGCAAAGAGAATGAGCTCGCCACGACAAAGGCCCGGGCTGACGCCCTGCAAAAGGCCCTCAACAGCTCCCTGGACGAGTTCATCCGCTTCCACGAGTTGTCATCGGGCAAGGAGAAGGATCTGCCGTCCGAGTTTGTGCTGCAGCTCAATAAGACGGCCATGAACATCATGGCCATCGCCAGGAGCGCCCAGACCGACGAGTGGCCGTCGTTTGACCAGGCCGACCGTCTGCTGGCCACCATGACCGACTCCCACGGTAAGGACGACGACTCCATCTACATCCTCTCCCAGGAGGCGCGGGACGCTTCCAGCCATCACCACTACCTGCGGCCCAAGCCCGTGTCTATCTCGCAGCGGCTGATGCGGGCGTGCGTGGACCGCGCCGCAGACATCCTCAACCTCACCAGCTCGCCCGTCATGTGTCTGCTCCCAGCCATGCTTCTGCCGCTGCAGTTTGACCGCCGCGACAACCTGCTCTCAAGAACCATGCGCTACATCCACATTGAAGACGAGGACCTCGAGCTCGACGCCGAGCACAGCCCCATGGCCTCGAGGCATCTGCCCAAGATGCTGCGGCTGATCGAAGGCCAATCCAACTCCATGGTGCCGCGGATGGCGCCCCCGAACTTGCAGCGCCTGCAGTTTGGCCGCACGCGGACGGTGCTGTCCACGGCGCTGCCGGACCTGCAGGGCGAATGGCTGGAGGCGTCGGACGTGGAAGAGTATCTCGAGCAGCGGGGGATTTTCATCCGGCAAGACTCTCCAAACACTGACATGCTGAACCTAGCAATCCCCCTCGACGTCGGCCTGGCGGCGCAGACGACGGACCTCAACGAGGCCAACAGGCACAATCCCGTCCGCCTGGTCCGGCAGACCAACCCAGCTCCCCTCACATGCAGCAACAGCAACAGCACAGGTACAAGCGGCGCAGCAAACTTCATCGACCCGTTGCTGATGCCGGCCGACTCGTCGTTCGAAACTTTTGCGGCCGCTAATCCCGATTACACCGTCTTTGGCCAGCAGCGCGACGTCCAGGTCGTGCCGTCGGGCATGAAGATGTTTACGCCGACCTCGTGGACGACGGACGTCGACGCGCACGTCTTGCCGATGGACATGGCGATGCACCACCAAAATAACCCGGAGCACATCAACATCATGTTCAACCTGGACAACTTAATAATGCGGCTGGCGGCCAAGGCTGTGTGTTTGGGGCCGTGTCCGGGGATAAGGAGGGGGCATGTTGATGAGGCGATTCGCGACTCGGTGGTTCAAATGCCGCCGATGTAGACGTTGATGATACATTTTCTTTTATGCTTTTTGATTTTGACGTTTCCTTTTGTTATTTGTTTCATTTCCTTTTTGTCCTAAGGCCTTGTTGGCGTCGCAAATAGTTGTTCTGCATCTTGTTTCTGATAGGCGTTTTGCTGAGCATGGCTGCAATCATATCAAAGTCATGTATTGAAAACAATACCGGGAAAATCCCCCAGCCAAAAACAGAAGAAAAGAAAACCACCAAACAAGCTCTCAAAACCAGGGGGAAACCACACATCCTTTATATAGCCACCCTAAATAAGAAAGTCTGGAATTATTGTTTAGTTACTCCGTCCACTCCCACGCAAAGTTGCTCATTATGAATACTACTACATGGGTTTATCAGCCCTCCAGACCCACCGGATAACCCGGCAGGATTACTATGAGACAGACGCTCTGTTTTTTTCCCACGAGTCATACGTTGAGCTCTTCGGACAAATTAACTACAGTCTTTGTCATGGCCTTAGTAAGGTTGGGGGACCGGTCACCTCGGTGTTTAAAACTTGACATATGTCTTGTTGCTCTATAAGCCAAAGGATGGGACACCGGCATCTTAAGATTAACGAAAGTCATGTTGTGTTAATATTGTAAAAGCAAGGAGTGGGCTAAATCGAGCTGAAGCTGAGCTGAGCTCATGACACTGTGTCTGTACGCTGTAATGACCGTCCGCGCTTATACGCTTCCAAAAACGTTTCCATCACATTTGCTCCGACGTAGATATCCCAAAGTTTGCCAATCTAGTTGTCCATAGAATTCCCACATAGTATTCCTATTTCCTCCAACCCCGTCTCACCGTCAAACATTGTCTCTCCCCCAACTCTCATAAATCCCTCTCTACAAATCTCGCACCAAGCGTGCTCCAACCCAAGCATACAGGTAGTTCCTCTGGTACCAGTTGACGAAGCTCTTCCTGCCCGCCACGCGCGGGTGCGTCGCCCACGAGCCGCCCAGCACGACGTTGTGCTTCTCGTCAAAGAAGTCAGCCGTGTACCCGGGGTAGATGCTCATGGGGCGGAACCCCTCGTGCGGCCGCAGGACGGTGCTGGTCCACTCCCAGACGCCGCCGAGCTCGCCCTGGCCGGCGAGGGAGCCGCCGTTAGGGGTCACGGGAACAGGGTGCCAGTGGAGGAAGCCGGTGTTGGTGTTGCTGAGATCGGCGAAGAGGGACGAGGGGGAGGTTGTCGATGGGGGAGTTTCCTGGACGCCGTCGTTGACAAGGTGACTGTAAATGTAAATCGGTGATTAGCTTATATGAGTTGTCTTGTGGTTCGGAGGTAAAAAGATAGTTCATTGACTTACCCATTGACTGCTGGAACCTTGTTAGACAATTTGCTCTGCTTGGCCATGTCCTTCTGCCTTTCGACATATGCATAAATGCTTTTGGCCTCCTCCATCGTGGGGATTCTTCCACCCATCCAGGCGGCACAGCCAGCAAGTTCATCGTACGATGCGAAAACAGGCCAGTCGAGAGCATATCTCAGGGGCACCAGCCCATAGACGGTGCGCACGGCCTTGTCGTGGATGAAGCTCTCGGGAAGCTCACTGAGGATGGGCTTTCCGGGAGTTGTGGCATTGGTGTTGTGGTGGTAGTTGGGGGGGATGATGGACCATGAGGCGGGGAGGGCCTCGATGTGAGATGAGATGAGGTATTTGGCGTACTGCAATTTTGAGGTTAGCTTTGTTCTATGAGATGGCTGAGGATATGTGATGCTGGGCTTACTTCTTCGTTGGTGATGGGTCTGCCCTTGGCTTCAAACGCATGCACCTTTTCTTGCCTTGCGGGCTTCTCGTTGTCCCTGTGAATCAGAATAGCGTCAGAAAAGGTCACCATGAGCAATTAGGAAACGGCATCTCTTACCATCCAAAGTGACGCTTTGAGTCGTGCTCATCCTCAGGGTCGTCCATTCCAATGGTAATCGTCTGCTCCGGGACTTCAAACCACTCGTTGGCCACACGCTGTGCATACGCCTTCTGCGCCATCTTTGGGAAATCCGGGATCACCGTGTGTGGTGGCGGAAGCGTCTTGTCGCTCTGGAGCAGCATGTACAACAAAGTCTCAAGGTGAAGCACCTCGTGCTCGAAGCCGATCCAGACGGCGCGGCGCACCTCTCCGACCAATTCATCGGGGTTGGCGTACATCTTCTGCAGTCTCTCACGGACACGGTCCTGGTAAGCCAGGATATCCTCCAAAGGAGGCCACTCATCGGGGATTTCCGAGTGGTCGTGGCACATTTCGGGATTGTCGACGTCAGGGTCGATGCCTCTTTCAAAGATGCTGTGGAAATAGACGGGCTCTGTTCCGCCGGCCTTTGTCGTCTTCTTCAGCTGAATGTCCAAGAAGGCGGGAATGTGGCCAAGATAGAAGATGCACGCATTGCGTAGCTTGATGGGCTTCTCGTTGAGCTCCTCGTCGGGGAGCATCTTTCGGGTGACGGTATCCCACGCCGCCCAGAGATTCTCCCAATCGGCCCAGGTAGGCAGGGTGTCGCTGGCGTACAGCTCAGGGAGTCTGGTGAAGGGCATCTTTGCCTTTTTCAGCATGTGTAGCCCTTGAAATTGGCAAGATATGTTAGTGTTGGCTGTATAACAGAGGGAAGAGAGGGGGTCCGAGCATACCGTATTCACCATTGTGGCTCCATCTGGTGACCTCTTCCAAGCCGGCCGTCTTCCACAGCTTGGCGACACCAATGTCAGAGTACTTGAAGCTCTGCTCAATCTTGATGCGCTCGTGGGGCTTGATGATGTGTCCCAGAACTGAAGCTACCTCAAGAGGCGAGACAAAGGCCTGGTGACGACCACCATCAACGTCGTAAACATACTCGCCAGTGACGTTCCACTCTTCGACGTTGAAGACTTCGTCGCCGAGGATCTCATTTGCATGGGTGAGTCCATTGAGAACGAACCTGATAATACTGATATTAGTTTCATTCATGTGGGATGCGTCAAATAAATCATAGTGTTTGTCTTACTGATGTGTGACGCCCTTGCTATCATTGTATGCATGGCTATTGCGATTCTTGCGTTAGATCACTTTCTCAAATGATCCATTCTCTGCTATTATTCGTATGCACTTACTAAACCTTGTCGGGGTTCTGACATGAGTCGACGCCGACAATCATGAGATCTGTGGGCTGCAGGATCTCTGCAAACGATCTGAGGAAATCTGCCGCCTCATCACGGTTAAAGTTGCCTAAAAAATTGAAACAAAAATCGTCAGTCAATCATTCAATATCATCGAGGATTGGAAAAGCTTCATACCAATGCTGGAGCCGAGATGCAAGATGCACTTTGGGCGAGACAGCATCGCCTCCTGCTTGAGCCACTCGCAACCATCGTCATAAGTTCCGCGCAAGCCCCGGCAGCTTACATATTCAAACTCGGGAGCCTCTGCAAGTGTGCGCTCCAGCTCAGTCTGGGACAAATCCAGAGCGAAATAGTCAATCTTCTTTTTGGCATCTTCAAATGCTTGCAGAAGAAGACAGACTTTACGCAGATTTCTATTGTCGAAGGCAAAAAAGCCAAGTTAGGACTAACAACACCAACAAACACCGAGCTGGGATTCTAAGACAAAGCTGAAAAAAAAAAAGTTGAGACTAACCCGCTGCCCAGCTCCACCACGATGGCTCCCTCAGGGATTTTACTGGCCATTTCGGCCGCCGATTTCTTCAAGAGCTCGATCTCATAGTTGGTGAGGTAGTACTCGTCCAGATATGTAATCTGGCAATCGCTTGGGTTACACAACTGCAAAGCCACACGCTTCATGGACAGGGTAGGGGGAAAAGGGAAAGGGAAAGAGGAGATTCAATCGTTTTCGGGAGGGAAAAAACATGGACATACATCCTCAAACAACTGAAGCCCCCTCTCGTCATATAGAAGCAGTGTGGGCAGCGTGCGAGGGCCCTGCTCGGGGTTCATCTGAGTAAGGATCTCGTCCTTGAGGTTAATATCGATCCGCGCATTCTGGATATCGATGATGTCAAGTGGCCTTGTCGTGGCCTTGGTGGTCTTGAGCGCCATCGCGTCGTCTGTGAGGTGCTGCTGCGCAAGGAGGACGGACTCCTTGACAGCGGGCATTGTGACTACGATTTGCGAGTTGGAGAAAGGGGAGAAAACACGCGCGTGGGAGTGATGGTGGTTTCTTTCTTCTCAAATCGTGGGTATATCAAGGCTTTGCTCCGGGTTTGAAAATAATACAGTATAAAGTGTGAATACCAAAGCAACGCGGAATGAGGGGGGCGGCAAGCCATGACACCGCCCCCCGAAGGCTATCTATATACTACTCTTGCTCTCTCACGAATCCAGGCACAGGTCGACGCCAAGCGACATGTCGAACCACGATCTACGTAATGTCGAGGCGCCGTCATGGCTTGAATCCTAAACCCAGAACAGGGCAGGCCTACCCAGCAGCTACATGGAATAAGCTGCGCGCCGGCATCGATAGCCAAGTCTTCAGCTTGTACACGGCCACTGCAACGTTCTAGCCTCCTCCTCCCACTTTACGCCCGTTTCGGGGAGGGTAGCAGTGAGAGCTTTCCCCTCCCCGACATGCCGAAGCCTGTGACTCTCAAAGGGTGAGCTCAGCAAGGGAGAGAAAAGCTTCGTGAGGGTCCGCTACGCAGCCATGATGCAAGACACCGGCTCCGTCAAACCACCGGCCGGGCGCCATGGCGGGATGCTCCAAGCCTGATGGAGGTAATGGTCAGGATGATCCAGCATATGGGGGCCCCATGTAAGGCAGTGGGATGTTTACAAGCTAATCTCCAGCGCGAGAGCCAGAACAATACAATGATGGGCCCGCACTGTTTGGAATCATTGCCTCATCGTCGGGCATATTCCAGCAACCCTTGCAAGGCTGGAAGCCAACGTGCAGGCTTTATTGGGGGCTAGCTAGCGAGGGAGCTCCACGGAGATGGGGGCTTTGGGGCCTCACGTAAACCAGGAGAAGAGCTAGCCGTGGAAGTCAAATGCTAACGAGAATAGAAATACAGGTACCTGAGCTCTTTGGCTTTTCTGCTCAGCCGTAGGAGCTGCTAAAGCCACTTGGGGCATGTACTTCCGCTTGGCTTGATGCTAGAGATGCCACTTAAACCTTCTTTGCGTAAGAGATGAGATTTGTCACCGTGACAAAGGGGCGACGAGCCGAAGGATGCGAGCTCGATGGAATTACGGCCGCAAATCCAGATGCTTCTTCATCAGTCTCTCGTCTCGTTTTCACGCTACAGTGCGCACTTTTGGTGTGGAATAACAGCTATTTTGCTCCGGCGCCGTGAATCACGCCAAAAGAGCTGCGGAGATCCGGACAACTCGGTAGCCGTTTTGGTGTCTCGAGACGTGTTCCCGTCCCGTCCCTTGCAGGCACACAAAATACAGTAGCATCAACTCCATCTTTTTGTCGGGATTTCGTAGCAATCATGTGTCATCGTTGGGCAAATCACGCTCGAGATGGTGGTCTCTGCTAAGACCGCGAAAGGCAAGGGAGACGGTCATCTTTTCGCCCATCTCAGCCGGTCTTAGCCGCTCCGCTTTGTTCCGTGCGAATATCCGCGCGGGTGTCGAATGACGAGATCCATGCGTACGTGTGTGTGTTTCGTTCGGTTCGAGTTGTAATCGATCGATCGAGGTAGTAAGATGTAAGTTGGGACGGGACAGAGAGAGACTCGCGCTTGGTAGATTCGGGTCTATGAAATTCTGCAAGCTTAGACGGGGAGCTACGCCGTGTTATATAGGCCTGCGCAGAGTGAGATAACGCCATTTCCACCATGAATGAGCATTGCAAACTTTACAGCGGCTACATGTATGTTTGACGTAGCCATGTGCTGTCTGTCTACAAACATCTCCTCTATTCTGCACATCCATTTACCATTCCCACTGAAAGCTACCTCCCTCCATTTCTCCTCATTGACCCCTTCTTTTACCCATCTATTCTCCATTAAATCGCGCTCATTGTTCTCTACTCCGATATACATCGAGCGACCCCGCCGCAAGCCTCGCCAAACTCATGCAGCTGGAGTGAGATTTCGCTGAAACTAGCTTCACTCGGTTACCGCGTTAATCAGAGCATTATCTAATATAAGCCTTAGGCTGATTGACACAGGAGTAATTGCACCGTGTATGACACAAGTCAATAGAAATCACATCTGATTCCCGTCGTGACAGATTTAAGATATCGGAACCCCCACTACTGTCTCGGGTGAAGGAATCATGCATGATTGCGGAGTGCATTCATAGCCTTGAATAGTGGCTTCTTCGTATTACTAAACCAACAAACGGCGGACTGAACCCCGAAGGGCAGAATATCTCAAAGTAGAAGTAGGTGCACATTAGCATTGCCTACTATCTGTGACTCGCGGAAAGTTGCCCGACATTTCCAATAGAACCGACAGATGGTGGACTCATCAGCCCAGCGACACGTCACCGAACCACGGGAGAAGCTGCCAGTGAATGCTCTAGCTGCGGAACGGAGTTAGCAGACAGATTCCTAATCACGGGAGATGGTGTCTAGTATTGACGGCCCCGGTACTGCACAATTGATGGGCATGGGGGGGTCCACCCGGATCAAGTTGCCTGGATCTTGGCTTGATTAGTGTTCAAGTTGTCGGTTTGAAGTTTCCTAATCCCAATGTCCGTAACTCCATCTACATGGCTCGTGGGTGAGAGTCCCATGAGCTGGAGCTGCTCGCCTTTTGCCCTCGGGGTTCCGGGTGTCATGAGCTATCAGCACGAAAGCCCTCGTCTTGTATACCATGTCAGCCTTGCTCAAATCGTCAAGCTGTATGAATGGTACTATTGAATTGGTGCTGACCATACGACTTCACATGTCCTTTGATGCCTAGACAATGTGTTTACATCTAGAATGACATTTATTGTTGCTTGATTTGAAACTCTTTCTTAATTTTACCCATTTCTCAGCACGCATGTGTCTAGCTTGTCTATAGACAGGTCTTATGCACTTCAAATTCGAGACTATCTTTCCAGCATACTTCACCCATACAATTTTCGTCACATCGTCTAGTAAGAAAACTCCTGTCCAACAAGCTTCTCGCTCAACTTCCACAGACGATCAGCCTCCACCTTGCTTGTACCCCAAGGCTTAACAGTCTGTACATAGGGGTCAGCGATGTGAGCGTCCTCCAAGTATACACCGTTGTGCTCTACCACATGTGTCAGTACAGTATTCCACCTATATTTTTAACGCAAAATTGGACGCAAGATGTCTTTACCTTTTAGGCTGGGCTCGAATGCCGCGTAGATGTGAGTAACAACGCCTCTCTCAAGCGTCTTAAACCTGAAGTCGTCCCTCCATCCTTCAGAGTTTCCAAGCATTCGATCGGCGGCAACTAGGCCACATCGTTAGTACGGTATAGATATACGGTGAAAGCAAAAGCAAAATGCCTACCCATTTCTGGCCATTCGACGGAAAAGTCAATGTGGGCACTGAGCTGAGTTTTGACAGTACCAGGATGAAGACTGAATGCAGTCAGACCACGGGATCCCAACTTCTCGGCCAGAGAAATAGCCATCAGCATGTTGGCAGTCTTGGATTGTCCGTACGCATGCCAGCAGTTGTACGTCTCGCCGTCCTAGAATCTGCTAATTAGCAAAAACAATCCCCGTTGGTTTTGAAGAGATAAGATTGGAAGTACTGACTCGGAAGTTGTAGTCAAACCATCGGATCGGGTGAAGTCTGTGACCGGTGCTGGCAATGTTGACGACACGAGGAGTTTTAGAGGCGAGGATCTTGGCCATGATGAGATTTGTAAAGAGGAATGGGCCCAAGTGGTTGTTTCCAAGCTGCAGCTCAAAGCCATCGACGGTCGTTGCGTAAGGGACAGCCATGATGCCGGCATTGTTCACGAGGACATCAATCTGAGGGACATCTTTCCAAGAGTTGACAGCAGCAGCGGCCTCACTCACCGCGGCAAGCGACGCGAGATCAATCTGAAGCGTGCGGATGTCGATGGCGGGATGAGCCGCCTTGAGGGCATCGGCAGTGATTTGGACCTTGGCCAAGCTGCGACCGGCAAGGATGAGTCCGGCGGGAGCAGCTTTTGCGACGTACTCGACGAAGACACCGCCGAGAGTGCCTTGAGAGACACCGGTGATGAGAATAACCTTGCCCTTGATCTCACCTGAAAGATCCTTAAGCAGATCATCGGCTGTGGTGTCGGTGTTGTACTCGCGAACCATTTTGTCTCGAGGTCCGTGAGACGATGCTGGTCAGTCAGGTATGTTTACTATTACAACGGCGTCTGAGTTATTTTATCAATTGGATAGCGATGCTTGCTTGCTTATATAGCAAAGCCGTGAATCGGGTTTGCGGAGGTGACAACTCCGTGGAAGTGTAACCTCAAGATTTGCTTCTCAAATAAGAAGAAGAGGAAGGGGAAAGGAGCTACCACAATTACGAGCCACAGTTGAAAATCCTGAATAACAAAGAGTTAGAGTTGTTTTCCCTATCTCATTTTTTACTGCCAGTAATGTAACATCGATATCTTTTTTTCGTATTGTTGTAGGCTGTTGATGTATGTTATGGTGTTCTTATATCTCTTCGCTCGGGAGTATATTAAACATCCGGCAACCGCACGCCTCGACGTGCATGTATTCTGGCTTATCCACTTTCACGCTTGCTTGTATAATTTCGTAAGGTAGTTTAAGGGGTAAGAGATGAAGCTATTCAAGTTTCCATTACAATAGCAATGAGCTTGATCGAGCTGGACGACCTGAATTGATGGAGCAGCTTTGGGCAGGCATCAAACTTGGTACATCTTCCCAACCAGAGAGATACGGACTTATACTTCTCTAAATCCAGGCACTCATGATGACATTACGTGTCCCACACTGGACGCACTTTTCTTATAATCCCTCGCCGGCGAATTTCTGCATATACAGGAATGTTGAGTAACATTGTACGTCTAAAAGCCGTTAGACGCGGCCCGTCAAGTCCGCGCATCGAGCCGCTTTAAAAAAAAAAAAAAAAAAAAAAAAAGGGAAATTTCGTAGGCATGTATGTGTTGATTATATGTTTCTGTATGTTATGCACTTACAATACAGACAGAGCCCAACAACCGTTCAAACCAACAGGTCAAGCGGGAAAAAATCCGCCGTATGGGAACTTTCAGTGATAGCGGATATTGATGATTCTCTACCAACTCTAGGAGAACCCACTTTGGCATAGTAATACCGCTGGTGTATGACGCATATGCAAACACCCGGGATCCTATTGCGAAGGATTCCTTATCGGTTCATGTAACAGATTGCGAAACGAAATAGCATTGATAGGAGCAGGCATCTAACTCGAAGCATAGGGTAGCTACCAAGTATTCTCTCAAGTATTTCGACTAACCGATGTTTGTGTTCTTGTCACAACAGAGATATCAAGAAAGCATTGAATACTCATGTCCCCAAACCCACGTCGTCACATAGCACATACGGCGGATGCCGATGCGGCAACAAAGTCCAATTCATACATCCATAGGTACGTTCACTGAAACTTGCGCATTGACAGCCATCGTTGGCCCGTGCTCTGGGTGCATTGTATCGGTTAATCAAGTTTGGAAATTCTTCAATTCTTTTGCGCTTCTCAGCCGTTCAAGCTACCGTATATATCGAGGAGCTGCTCAAATACGTATCCGGGCAGATGAACACCATTTTCCGTTACCAGGTTGGAGATCAATTCCGGGGGCTATCACCAATGTTAGTTCAGCACACCTGACAGACACCAACATAAAGCCAACATATGAGGGATTGGGGAGAAGAAAAACCTACCGTGTAGTCGACAGCATCCTTGGGCTGCTTGCTTGGTGCCGTAGCTGAAAAGTCCAACACCTCCTGCTGGTAGCCAATATCCCTTTGATCCAGAGGAAACTTGCGCACAAACTTGTGTGTCTCAGCAGCGACATAGAAGGGAATCTTGGCCTGTGCCGCCAGCTTGGCGATCTGATATGTTCCGATCCGCGAGATGATGCCACCATTCTGCGTCACAGCTTCGGCACCCGTAAACACCATGTGAACCTGTCGCAGCAAGCCCATGACATGCGCCACCGCAGCCTCAGGAATCTCTGCCACGGGAATTCCCTTGCTCCGCAGCTCCTTGACCACGCGATCGCTCTCCTCGGCACGCACTTCGTCCCGCACGTAAACCACCCTAAACTTGCCCTCGCTGTTCTTGGCCGCTCGCTCCAGCAGCCCGGTGACCGATCGCGAAGCTCCATGCGTCAGCACGCACTTGCCTTCCCGGACGAATCTCCACCCCGCTTCCGCAATGCCATTCCTGGCTGCGATGGCCCTACTCGCAAACAGGCGTCCATTGCGCAACAGGTGCTGCCGTACAGCGTCGAAGCTGCCGTCTTGCTGCTTCAGCGAAGCGACGAGGTACTGGAGGAAGAGATCTGTTCCCGCCTGGAGGGGTAGCGGGTTCTCAACAGAGGCAATGAGGAGGTCGGAATGGGACTTGACGGTGTCGAGGGTTTCGTATACGGTGGTTGAGGGGACGGTGTTGAGGAGGGCGATGAGAGATTCGATGGCGGCGACGGGCTTTGTAAGGTCAGGATCGGAGGCGAGGAGGTCTCGGTATGTCGCGACGATGCTGTTGGTATGTTAGAATCGCTTCATGGGTACAGCTGGAGATGAGCGTACTCAAAGGTCGAGTCGTCGGGCTGGGTTCGCAAGGGAAGCTCAGTCGAGACTGGCTGCGCGAGGGCTAGAATGAGATGGTCAGTATCGACATGTTGGAATGTCGCAGCAGGAGAGGAGAGGAGACGCACCAGCTTCTGATTCTGACATTGTGTGCGCAAGAAGTGTGAAAGAAGGCAACCAAAAAAATTGAGTCTGTGATCCGGTAGAAGAGAATATGCGCCGGATGCTGAAGTGTTGAGTTTTGGAGCTGTTGATGTGAGTCAGGAAATTTGGAGATATCAAAGTTTGGCTCGCCATACAAACCTAAAGCTTGAGGTACCTCACAAGCCACACATGGCGGGGTAAAGTACAGAGGACATGCCGCACATAAGCCGCTGTAGGGACCCCTGTAAATCAGCCCCTCCACCCGCCCAGATTCATGATGCTAGGGCACCCAAGCAGATGCCCAATGGATGTCGAGATCCAGAGCATCTCCATCGTTGTAGCGCAGCAGCACGGCATCGACACATTTAACCTGACATGTAGCACCAGCCGCGATATCCCCCACCGCCCATTGACCTTCTCTCTTGTCTGCTGTTTCACCACCAACACCAGCATCACCACCAGCTTCAACATCAACATCACCTTCAGCGCTAGCATTGCCGTTTGTTTAGCCCTTGCCAGATACCAATTGAATTGAATTGAATTCTTGTTTCAACTACTTTATATACACATCACCAACACAACAACAACACAAAACCATGGAGGCCATCGATCCAGCAACCGGCCAGCCCCTCCCCAACGACGCCATCCAGCGCGTCCTCTTCGTCGCAAACACCGTCCACGTCTACAACATCCCGCCCCTGACCTCCATGCGCGGCCACGCCGCCGCCTCCTGGACCGAAGACCCCGCCCGCCACATCTTCACCGCGCGCCTCCGCGTCGTCGAGACGTCCTACGAGAGCCCCGACGCTGCTTCTAGCATCAAGATCGACCTCGTCCTCGAGGACCCTTCCACCGGCGCGCTCTTCGCCGCCTCGCCCTACAACGACCGCGGCGCCGTCGAGCCCGTCGTCGACAGCAGCCGCTTCTTCGCCGTCACCGTCAAGGATCCCCAGGGACGTAAGGCCGTGCTGGGGATTGGCTTTGAGGAGAGGTCCGACGCTTTCGATTTGGCGGTGTCGCTGCAGGAGGCTAGGCGGAGCCTTGGGTGGGAGACGGAGCAGAGCCAGAACCCGGCGGATGCAAAGGCCAAGACGGAGACAAAGGACTACAGCTTGAAGGAGGGCGAGACCATCACAGTAAACCTCGGCGGCACCAAGTTCGGCCGACGACGACCCCAGCACGCAGACGAAGAAGCCTCTTCTACATCTTCGAGCTCGGCTGATTTGCAATCATTCGCGCTGCCGCCTCCTCCCGCCGGTGCAGCTTCATTTTCTCTCCCGCCGCCGCCCAAAACCTCCGACGTCAAAGAAAAGAGAAAGTCGCTAAAGAACTTGGGATTCGACGACGGTCAGTTTGGAGAATTTGCGTAGAAAGAGAAGGAATAAAATTAAAAAGTGAACATAAGTGCAGTGCATGACTATAACATAGACAATCCTCCCAGCAATAATTGTTAATATCATCCGGTCAATTCGTTTGTACATGTACATTCACATTCGCCATGATGTCCTCCGATCCTTATCCCATGATAGATGCATTCCCAGACAACCAAGCAGACACAAAACAGACAGATGCAAAACTCCTTTCAGCCCATGTTTTTTTCCCCTTCTCAGTTTCCTTCTCCCTTGTCCCTTTTCTCTCTCTCTTCGTTTTGTTAATTTCAGTCACTGCCTTCAGTGACAGGCCAAATTGAACAAAGACTTGGGAGACTCTTTCGTCTTTCTTGTGCACATAAAGACAGCCTCTCGATGAGGTGAGACGGCCTCAGCTGGGTATTTTCGGCGTCTGAGTAGCCCTGGTATGTGAACCACAATCCATGATTACACAAACCCTCATCCCTAGTGTGGCCTTCCGCCTCCGTCACGACTTCTTCTTCTTCGTCATCGTTGGAAATGTCATCCTCCTCGAGGCTCTCGTCATCGTCATCGTCCTCTTCCTCTTCCTTAGACTCGACAACAGTGTCAAGGGTCCAAGGTTTCTCCACTTCTAATGCACAAGACTGAGCACGGACTGGTGGGCCGGCAGATGGAACAAATTCCTTTGATGTTGCGCTGAGCGGCGTTTCCGGAGAGGTTGACGGCATGGCTGTGTTGGACGAAAAATTCGAATGAAACATCCTGCGTTGGTGAATTTGGTCCCAGGCATCTCTTCCCAGTTGCTCCATGTGCAGCTCGCTCAGCCTCATGACGATGGCCCTTTCCTGGCGAGATGCCTCAGCAAACTTGACCTTGATAAAACTCATTTGCTTGCGAAGTTTCCGTCTCTCCTTCCCAGGGTGCTCTTTTGCTTGAAGAACCTCTTCGATCAAGGCATACTGATGTATCAATTCCATCACTTTAACTGAACACACATGGAGAGATGTTGTAAGATATGCTCGTTCGGCATATATCTCTTCATATGATCGTGGGCGGAACATGAGATTCCAGAAGGGTGTAGTCTGCTTAGGGTTGCGTCTGCTTCTGCCTCGAGCACCGTTGCTCTTTTCTTTTTCGATTGCCGGAGAAGCCCCTCTTGAAGATGGCTTTGTTGATGCAGATGAGCGAGAGTCGAGAGAGAGGGTACGGCAGGACGAGGGAGACGACGATGATGGAGAAATGTCTCGAAGTCCTCGCACCGATCTCTCCGGAATTGCAATCGTTTCCAAATCCATTAGTTGTAAATTGCAATGCTTCGGTGTAAAGGTCATTGGTGAGCGATTGCAGCAGCAAGGCTTGCTCAGTTTATGAAGAATAATTAGACATCAAAGAGCAGCAATTGTCGAGCTAGATGAACAAACAGCTGACCAGATTCTTCGTCGCTATCTGGCTATTGTTCTCACAAAACTGCTTGACCAGGCCCGAAGACCCGGTGCTGTGGCTTCGGACCTCGGGCACTGCACTTGCGTGTTGCTTTGAGACATGTGTATAATGCCGCCACCAACAACCTGGCGGGTTGAGTAGACTCTTCTCCGATTGAGTTGCGATGAACCAACACGCTCATCCAAGTGACGCCAATTGATCTGTGCGCCCACCAAATCCAGCCTTGAATATAGTATCTAGCCAGAGCTGAGTTTAGCACTCCTGAAATAGCGCCTGGTTCACCTTGGGCTCGACGCATTATTGGGTCCGTGGCTGTAATTGAACGGCGATAGAAAATTTGGTGGAACATAGACATTCGCAGGCACAAAGGAGCTCGGCGACATGTTACAAGCACAGCGCAGCTAGTGGATTGAGCAGGACAAAGCGTGGCATACGCCATCAGATAGCGAAACCGTCGTGTTTCGGAGGATCGCAGAAGCGCCAAAGACCAGCCTGCATAGCCGCTTCGCGCACCGACGAGATCTCTTCACTCGTCACAGATCGATTGATGTCGCTGTATCGAACTTCTTCGTCTCCTTCTTTGTCTCCTTCTGCCAGCTTGTCTTCAGCCACAGACGATGCTCGTCTCTTTCTTCTCTTCTTGCCAACATGCGCGTCTGGATGATACTGCTCCATGATGTTGACAAAGCAGTCAGTGGATACCTCGGATGCTAGAAACTTCATGATTTCTGCCCCTTCGGCCTCTTTTCCTGGCATGACCAAATGCCTAATCAGGAGTCCTACTTTCGCAATTCCATCTCCTGTAAAGCACAGATCGCCCACTTGCTTATGCATGGCTTTGATGCTCTCCCTGGCAGTTGCAGCGTAGTCATCTGCTTTGAGCAATCTTTTGGATGTGCTGGACTCCCATACTTTAAAATCGGCCAGATAGATGTCGACCAGTCCATCCATGAGTTCCAGAGACGCAAGCGAGTCGTAGCTTGAGGTGTTGTAGATAATCGGTACTCTTAGCCCTCGCTCAGCGGCATGCAAAACACTTAACGCCACCTGAGGCACCACGTGCTCGGGCGTCACAATGTTGATGTTGTGGACGCCGCCTACCTCCTGAAGCTTCAGATACCAGTCGCCCAGCGCCTCTGGGGTGAGATCCATGCCGTTTCGCTGGTGGGCAATGTCATAGTTCTGGCAGAAGATGCAGCGCATGTTGCATCCACTCATGAATACCGCGCCACTACCATTGTGCCCCTGGATACATGGCTCTAGTCCCACGTTAGCACGCCTCTTTTTCTTTGTGCCGCCGGCGTCCTAGTGCCGAGTGCCTATTCAACAGCCTTTTCAGCTGCCCTTTGAGTTCAGACGGAGGGCTGTGAACGGACCTTCACCAAAATGCGGCGCTATGACATTGACCTTGGCCGTATCGCCAATGAGGCACATGCCAGTGGTCTCGTTGCGATTGACGCCGCATTGTCTGGGGCACAGATTGCAGTTGCGGAGGTGGGCGTAGGCCAGCGACCGCTTCCTGGCCGCATCTCTAGAGGACAGCCTAAGATACCTTGGCGTGTAGTCGTCGAGCAGAAACGGCGGGGCGAGATGAAGGCATCGCTGAGCTGCTGCTCGAACTCGGGGGATTGATGGAGCTCGCTGAAGAAAACAATGCCTTATGAATGGGGAGGTCATGGTGCGGAGAGGGACGAGCTGCATGCAGGGGCAGACATGGCCCTTGCAGAACGTTGCACGATTCCAGGGTCTGCGGGTCGTCGAGCCGGAGAGATTGATCCAACCCAACAGAGATTCAGAAGCATCGAGGATAATGTGCAGAGTATGAGCACGGGCACAGTAGTCTTTGTGGTGGGTGTTGCAGTATGTAAGATGTCGAGACTCGGGCTTGGTGTGGTGGATTGCACATAGCGGGGGAGTTTGGCGGATAGCGGCCACTATCAAGGTTCTTATCGGCATCCTCTATCACTAAACGACATTATTACATGCACTTGACTCCTCCAACTCATACGGCTCTTGCAGAACGTTGCACGATTGCCTGCGCCTCGCCTAACAGAGATATGTATGAGCACGAGTACTTGTAAAAAGCGAAATGGGCGCTTGCACAACATTGAAGTAACTATTCCATTTTCTAAGGACTGGGGGCAGCCTGTGGCTTGCAAGATGAACTTGTAAGTACACGTAACCATAATATGCTACTGGGCAGCTGACAAGATGTTGCAGAGACAGGACTGTAGGAGTTCGTTGGAGTTTTGTTCAAGGTTGATTTAGCTCTCTAATTGTCACAGATGTTCGTTCATTCAAAAGCTCCCTTATCTAACTCTAATCGATTTAAATCCCCAGGTTTCCATCATCTTTTCCAAGGTGTGAGTATAACAGTGAATAGCGAACATTCCAGCCCGTTCCCACAACCCCGAACCGTCATCAGTTTTCAAAATCATGACCAACGATGTCTTGAGGACCCCTCCAATACACACACATTGCCATACATGACTATCATGGATATCTTCAGCAAATTGAGATTCAGACACAGAGCCAGAAGACAATGCTAGGTTAGCTTTGTATCTTCCAATCTGCCACCGTTCATTTGAAGTTGCATTGGGGTTAAAAGAAATGAGTTTCGAGGGAACTACTGCTGCCTTGAGTACCACAACTGGGAAAATACAAGTCTCATCAGGGTTTGGCGCGATCATCTCCAGGGCTATAGGACTATCGATTTGATTCTCGACTGAAACGGCCCTGATGAGATTATTAAACCACGATTTCTGTTTAGAGTCATTAAATTCATATCGGACTTCGCCTTCCCATCCAGCCCAAGACCAGGAAGGGAATTGCGGTCGCCGTTGTGGACTCTGCGAGAGGACCCAGCAATTCTTTGTATGGCACCAAGATAGTGAATGCGCGAAACTAGACGTTCGTTCTTCCGGTGGCGTTGGGTGATATGCCAGCCCCCAAATATTGTGGACAGCGTGCTTTCCGTACCAGAACTGTTGCGCAATACCTCGAAATGCGTCCAGGGAGTCCTCGGCAAAACTCAATTTTTTGGCGGAATACTCTTCTACATTCGATAAATATCGACCAAAAACCTCATTGGGTCCCTGGTTTTCGAGAATAAGCCTGCCGAATTCCGCTTTACGATTTCCGCCGAAAACTCCACGTCGCAGGTACTCGTAGCTTTTGCTTCTGTCTTTGATGTGCAAACTATCGAGTGGGATGTCGAGGCTCTCGTAGATATTCATTGCATTGCACTCAAAATAAGCCTGCTGTTCCGTGAAAACAAGGCGGCGACGGCTGAGGAGCGCTTCCTGAAAAGTCCATCCTCGAGTGGACCATTTGGACGATTTGATTATTGCTTGAGGGTCCTTCGGTGCCCATACCACTGCGACATCGCCGATATGGGCCTCCATCCGGGTTTTTGGGCGATTTTTTCCTACTCCTGGTAGACCGTAGTTCTCATCTTGACCTACTGCAGCGATTATAGTTACCTCGGCGTTGCTGTATATTGCATCCATTTGCCGAATTTGCTCATGCTTGGCTGTTGGATTGTCTTGATCATGCAGTATCGGTCGACCCATAGGTACCGGAATCCCATTGCCTGAGTTACTGCCATAGCATCTCGGATAAGTAATGAGAGCTGAGTAGGCAGTCGCTTTCCATCATTTACCGCTTTTTGCGCCTGGGGCTGTCCCCAAACGTAACTCAAAGCGACATACGGCATACCGGGCTTATGTTCCGTAATAGATTGCTCCTGGCAATCAATAACGCGAGTGCCACACAAATGTGACTTTGGAGAGCGACAGAGTAGCCTATGGTTTTTGTTGCAATAACCGAACCAATTTTGAAATTTGGCCAACTCGAATACTGGAGGTATTACCTTCAGTGATAGAGGTACTGCCTGTTGCTGGTTGAGCTGCCGGAGCGCTGCATAGCCAGATTGTTGAATAAGAGCCCTGACTCTCTTGCGATTCTTTTTCAGACTGTAGTTTTTGTTGGAAAACAGCATTAGAAATGGAAAGTCTCTTGGTTTCCACTGTTCGCACCCAACCTCAACTAAACCAGACATTTTCATAAATGACACCGCTCTTATCCAGTATCGGTCACTATGCAATTCAGGATCTCCTTCATCGACCCGAGAAGTAATGAGCATTTGGCATAGGTTACAGTTCGTCGCTCTCGTCACTCGGTATCTATGGCCAACATCAACGACCCAGTTGTTGAAGTATCCCCAGGGAACAGAGGCGGATTCATCGCCAGCATCCTCGACTGAGAAAGCTTGTGAAAGATCCAGACTGACGCAATCTTGACATAGAAACTCGGGAGACGGCGGCTCCTTTGGCGCCGTTTGGATATGTGAGGCATCTGTGGGACGTTTTCTCTTTTTCGAGGCATCGCTCGCAAGGATAATGTCCTGGGAGTTGGACTCCATGGTTGAGTAATTCGAATTATATCTTTCATATAATCAGCATTGAATCATTTGTGAGAAGCATAGCATGTGTTCGATTGGAGGTACCTCGTAAAAAGAAGAGATTGAGAGAAAGACGCCAACATGTGGATGGAGACGGTGAGGACAGTTATACCATAGAAGCCCCTCTCTACACAGCCTTGTTCACAGCCTGACTAGGACTTTGGGTATTGAGCATCACGTGAACATTCTGAAGGATGTAGACACTTGTTCAGATAAGGCAATGTAACTCACACTGCGATAGCGGTCTAGAAAATGGCCTGTTTGAGATTTGTCTATAAAGAGACGAAAGAGACTATAGGAGGCGATTATGCAAGTGGCCGGATAGCTTTCGCCAAGAATTCTTCTAGCCTCATTTTTTACTTGGTTCGACTACTTGAAGGGTTTCTCAGGCTACTTTCTGGTACGCCGACTGAGCGTCATAATAGGTTACTTATCTACTGGTCTGTAGATGTAGAATTGTTCCATGTACATGTACTAGGTAGTATGTGATGTGATGCTAGAAACACTAAAGCACAACTGGCTGTACTTAATGTCGGCAAGGAACCCGCTTTAAATGGCCATCATTAATGAAGAATTTGAAGCCAACGGCGCCCATTTCACCGTTTATTGTATGTTATGGGTGTTACGGTGAAATGCCGAGAATCGAGCTTGTGCTGAATTGATGGGTTGTACATGGCGAGGAGTTTCGGCTGATGACGTTCCCAGTCACTTTCTTATCGGCATCCCCATCACTAACGACGCTATTTCATGCACTTGACTCCTCCAACTTCAGAAAGCAAGCCAACAACACAATCAATTCTCGGAAATTTAGATCAACACTAGAACCGCTAATCTACATTCTAATCGATCTCGCCCGACCTGAAAACCGTCACCGCAAGCCGCACCGACCAACCATCTACTTGTTTCCCCCAACACAACTCACACTCAGTCGTCAATCCGCAAGAGGTGGTGATACTTCCTGGGCAGCTCCTCTCTCAGCTTCGCCATCTGCCGCTTCATTGCTTCGATCTCGCTGCGAATCATGCTACTCACTACCCAGTCAGATGCTCCCTCAAGAAGTTCACTTCGTGCCTTGTCCTTCGCAGCTCCGCCAAAGCAATCTTCAAGCTAGCCTGCATCTCCATCTTATCTCGTGCGAGTGTCCCGTTTTCATCTTCCAACTTCTTCGCCTTCTGAATATAATCGTTCTCACGCTTCAGAAGATCTGAAGCTCGTTCTGGCCAAGATGGCGCCACCACAGATACTACCGTTGGCTGACTCTCCATCTTTCGAGTTTGTGCTGTGCCGGGGTGATGGTCGATAACCGGGATGATGAAGATCGTTGACTGCCCTCCTGAACCCTTGAGACGAACAAACCGCGCCGTCAAATCGACAGGTACGAAACCACGGGAATACCATTTGCCAGCTTCTGTTTGCGACCACATTCGCTCGCCGCTGACTCCTGAATTGAACGACATCTGGTCCTGGGCTTGAATCTTGGACTCTTGTTTATCCAGCAGCTGGTGTATGAATTGAAAGGCATCTTCTCCCGCGTTGGCAAGAATAAATCGTTCCTGTACATAGGCTAACTCGCGTCCCATCAGTCGTCTCTCTGGGCCTAAGTGTTGAACCATCTGCATGGGCACAACAGCTTCTCCCTCCAGAATATCGACAGCCCTAGCGCACTGGATCTCGAGTTCGTGCATCCGTTGAACCATGTGTTGCTGATGAAGGAGCATCTGCCCCAGTATCGTGTTCTTTGCAGCAGTCATTTGCTCACTATCATCCTCATTTCCAGATGGAATCAATGAAGAGAGGCCTCCTGTCGCACTATATTCGTGATCTAGAATCTCGAGGCATTTGTTTGCATGCATGACCAAGTTGTGATGGCTACAGTACGGTCGGAATGTCGTCTCGCCAGGCTCGGTGAGTTCCGCGCTGCGCACCTCCGTGAGAGGGCAGTGGCATTCAATTCCAGTCTCCTCGTCCTCAGATTTAACATGATTCGCCAGCGCCCAAAGTGGAATATGGTGAAATTCGTCGTCGTTCGTATATGGTTCGTCGAGGTTCTTTAGCCAATCAAAGGCCTCATTCTTCCTAAAAGCCGGACGCCGCTCGCCCTTCCCATCGATGATTCCAAATGTAGTGCTGACGCAAATTTTCTTGATAAGATTTGTAAGAGACTGTGCGTGCTGTTTCAATGCTAACAGCGTTGGAGGTCTGCCGGAGGAAAGGTACGAGCAATTCACATGCTTCAGAAGCTCCAAGTCCTGTTCGTTCAAGACGCCAAACTCGGGATCGGTCCATTGGCATACCCATGCTGTTGAATACTCGGTTGCCGGTATGTAGTACGGCGCGCCATTTTCCTGAACGCTTGTAGAGCGGCGATTGGGATTCGAGGTGAATTCGATGAAAGGCATGGCGTGCTATTTTTCGAAATGTATTTGGGGACTTTGCTGAATGACTTCATGTTCCCAGGCAAAGGCCGGCTTTTATTTCATTGCATACTAACTATTTATAGCTTTGTCGTTATAACACTCGAACCCACGCCTACAGAGGATGTCATCAAGATCATGGCATATAATATGATGCGAAAACACACAAAGGCTTGATCCTGCTGAGGCAGTGTGGCTGCTCACGGACGATTTTCCCCTTTGTGTTGTGCATTGCATTGATGCATTCTATTTCGGCATATACCATCACAAGATTTTTGTAGAGATGCTAATTTTAGAGATGCAAAGTAGTTTCCAACTTCCTATACCGACAGATGGTTTAGAAAGAGGTCAATTCAAGAACCAACAATTATACCGGCATTCACCTTGCTAATTGGTGATCCATATGAAGCATCGACATGGCAAAATTTCGCTATAGGGGCATTCGATTCCTCACTCAACACCTCTGCATGAGACATCGCTTAGCCTTTGGCTCTTCAAAGAAAAAGACCTTGGGAACCATATCCTCATCGCAAAAGCCTTCAAGCGTCGACACTTTGGCCTCTGAAAATGTCAAAAAGAAGCGGGCGGTCGCATAACGCAGCTCAATCCGGGCAAGATGCAATCCGATGCAAACTGTCAAAGAGACTCCAAGTTAGCAAATAACACAACTTGACGTTTTCAGAGATCAAAGAAAACTCACTTCGCGATCCATTGCCAAAGGGCATAAAAGAATCTTTCATCTCTCGCGTTGGCGATGCCCATCGTGACGGGTCAAAGACATCCGGATTCGGAAACACGCTGGGAATGCGATGCATGCTGTATGCCTGTGCGCAGATGCTCGTGCCCCCAGGAAGCCAGTATCCGGCAACATCGTCACCGCCCTCGGGGACATATCGAGGCAGGGAGGATTGAATGCCAGAGTACAAACGCAGCGTCTCGTCAATCACCTGGTTCAAGTAACTCAAGTCACGGAGGTGAGAAGCGTTAAAGTCGTTTGGGAGAGTTCGCAATTCTTCCAGAAGAGCAGCCCTGACCGTTGGATTGCGACAAACGGACCAGACAAGGTATGTGAGCGTGACGGCTGTGGAGTCGCTGCCGGCAACAATGTATCCTGATGCGTTGGCCCTGAGCTCCACTGGTGTAAGAGCGTCTTTGTCCGTGTCTTTGAAGACTTTGGTAAACAGGGTCCATTTGACGCTCGTAGGGTCAGAGTCTAGAAGGTTCCTGTAACGCGCAATGGACTCTTCTGAATAACGAATCATGTTCCTCGTTGCCTGGAGTGGGCGTGTGAAGAACGGAATGGGGAGGTATTTCGCCATTGAGATTAATGTCGGGAAAGCCGAGCGGACAGCTCCAAGGAATCCCAGATTCTCCAAATCCTTTGTGTAGCCGCTCTTCTCGCCAATCTCCAAGGTCCTGAAAGAGTCGCCAAAGGAGAGCTCTCCAATGATGTCTGTCGCCATGAATAGAAACCACTTGATGACATCCGCAGCGCCTCTGCTTTCCATCTCCTCGCCCATTCTTTGTATCGCAAGGTCAACTTTGGACTGCACTTGGGGAATAGCAATTTGTAGTGACGTTTCGGACATTGCGCCTGAGAGAAGCCTTCGTAGTCTTCGATGTACCTCGACGCGAGTGGTGTTGAAGAGGTTTTCCGTTGTGACGGACAAGTCGCCATACCAAGACGTTTTTCGATATGTCTCTCGAGCATTGTAGATTTTCTTGACAGCTTCGATGTTGGTGACGGATACTTCGTTAGGGGTGAGGCGGACAAGAGGACCTGCGAGGTTAAAGTTCCGTTTAGTAACCATCGAAAAGTGAAACGCAGTAAGCTCTTCAAAGGGAGTAGCTTACCATATTTGAGATGTAGTTCATGCTGGTATTGCGCTCGGTTCCCCTTCAACCAGTGATACTTTATTACGAGGGAAGTCCATTTGGTATACCACGGACCGGGCACCTGAGAGAGAGGATCTCGAATGTAATGGCCAAGCAACTTGCAAGTTCGTTAGAGGAGTTATAAACTGTCGTAGAGTCAGCTGGAAACTCACATAAAGCAGTCCCACCACCGCAACAGCCCCAAATAGGTAGTTGGGAGCAAGCAGAACACGATAGACGTCTTTCATGGTGCAACAGCTGTCTTGTCGATCATGAGCTATTGTTGTTGTATAATAGCCGAGATGAAATAGAAGGAATTAAGCGTCTTTATGTATTGAAAGCAACTACCATTGCTTTGAGCAGCTCCTTGGCTTCATGTTTAACCAGGCATCCGTTAGTCGACAGCGCACATCCCCCAAGTCTCTCCTGTTTAAGCGATGATCGCTCGTCAATAGATACAATCGGCTTCGCGCTCTCTTCGCCGCTCTCCGGCAAAATGCGATAGATGAGACATCCCTTTCTTTCACACTCAGGAGCAAGCACAATCCCCACCATCGGTTAACTTGATTTGCTCATTCATTCGTATGTGATGCTCCAGTTCAGGAGCGCCACTACCAAGATGCCGCAGACAAAGTGCCGGCGCTATTATTCGCCATATCCACACCGTTAAAGTTCTTGGATAATTATGGTGACCAAGATTCTATTGTAATTCTTACCAATACTGGCGATAAAGGAACAACACAGCAGGGTTTACCGCGCCGCTTACATGTTTACGACTGGTGCAGGGTAGCATTCGCGGTTTTCGCTCGTCCAGCACGCGAGATGAAGCACCGGCAGTCGCACAATACATGGAGACATATGACCAAGAAGGTCTACTTTGCACGAATAATCCTCCGTTTGCGAGTTGTGTATCAGTTGGAAGCGACTCAGGAATGAATCGGATAAGTGATGTCGGCCTTTCGCTTTTCCGCCAGGGAGAATCTTCGCGCTTCGGCTTCGGACTCTCAAATAAGGCCACGTCCGAAATTCTCCCGCTCTCGAAATACCCGATATCATCTCTCAATAGAGATGTTTTCATGCTCTGTAAAGCAAAAAGTGAGATAGGGGCTATAACGGCATCTTTCGTAGAAAGGAGTGTCTAGCTAGCAAAAGCATCTCATCAAAGGGGCACTAACGCAGCTGAAGGGTTTAATTTTCCGCGGCATGGAGCACCTTGCATTCTGGGGAACAAAAAGCTTCCATTACCTATTTGTTTTACCCCGCGTGGATTTTCTTGGCTGTACATGGGCAGCTCTTTTTAGTCCATCATCAGTTATCAGTCCCCGATATATGCGCCCTCCAAGACATAGTCAGATCATGAGTCTTGAGATGTCATAAAGCCAGGCAAATGGTCCATCTTGGGATTTAGTTTCGGGCTATTGCCTCCAATTCACCCCACAGCGGGTAATATGTCACTGGGCTGACCGACGAGATTAACGAAATTGACGAGATTGGCGGCTTACTTGCTTGAATGTGGCTTATAAAAACTCCAGCTTCATGCACACAGCCGTGGTAAGTCAGAGTAACATGGCGCAACGGCCCCGAGGTAGAATACTCACCAGCACCGAGGTAAAAGACTTGTAGAGGTGTGGTAGGTGTGAATTTGTCTGGTAGGATTGACACTGCGGACGAATCGGCGCTCAATCATAGCGTGTGATGGCCATATTACTTCCATCCGGGGTAAGTATTATCATCTGCAGTAATATTGGCTGGTGGGTACGTGCTTCTAGTGGAAACGGATATAATATTGAGTCATTGTCTATTGTGGATGAGACTGCATTCACAGCTCAGCATTCACTCTGGACACAGTTACTCCGGGAGCATTGGGTGACCATAGGCGCCATTAAATGGCATGTGGTACCAAAATTCTACAGAGAACCCCATTATATCGATGGAGTTAATAATGAAAGGTGTTTTTTTTTTTAACAGAGCATGAATAGTACACAATGAAACGTTTCCTGAAGAGTGTGGACCGTTGGAACGTGGACAAACATGGCTTGCTCTTGGAGCTGTAATGAACAGTCGCGCACTATCTACATCTTGAATCTGAAATAAGCCTGTTATTGTTAAATTGCGATTACAATAAGCTGAACTACGGCATGTAAGTATGTGGAGCTACCTAACGAGTTGTAATGGAAGATAGCCATTGTTCTGAGCATATGCGGTTGGACTCTCAAATATCGTGAGTATCATACAAGCTTGCATCAGGAACAATATACGTGATTGGGCATGGAATTAAATACGTATTCAGATCCTTCCATTATATGTGCATTCATGTTTTTTCCCTATTAGATGGGTGCTATGTTCCTTGCGTAGACCTTTGCGTGAGTTCCACCACGAACAAAGTAACTCTGCAACTGTCAACGCTGCCAATTCTGCTCATTTTGACTTCTAAGGCAGTGAGTAAAATTTGGAAGATACATCTAATTCGGAGAACAGCTGCCTGCCACTCGCACTGAAGCAAGGTGCAGCACTGGCAATATTTACACCGCCCTATTCTCTGCCTGCATCTTCACCATTTCATCGAAGACTTGTGCACACATTTTCTTCAATCCCACAACTTCATTCCTCCTCCTCCTCACCTTCTCCTTTATTATTCCATTTTCTTTCTTCCAACCTTGTTACTCTTTTCGATCATACAACCGGCCCAGTGCATATGCAGAACCAGCACGAAGTTGCGTCAGCCTTCGTTCACCACTGTTCATCCAGAGAGAATAATTGCATATTTTCTTGTTGTGAGCTTGAATCAATTTACTGCATCACCTCCTCCTTCTTTACTCATTTGGAAGGCTACGGAATATCTCGACTGACTCTGGAATAGAACTCTCTAGACTACGCAATCGAACATGGAGACGCCAATAACTGCTGGACCAGCTTCTCCAGCAGCTGCGACTCTTCCTACTCCAGCTGAATCTCCCAAGTCAAATCATGCACCCCCAAAGCAGTATGACTTCAGCAGCCTAGTTGACGAATTAGAAAAGAGTGGTGACTGCAATCTTGCCAGTGCGGAGCAAGACGTTCCAAGCTCCTCAACTAACTCGACTATTCTTGCTGAGAGTATGGGCGAAGAATCCATATTCGTAGAGGACAGCGATATGGCAATAGATGAAAAATTACATCGTGTCCACAATGATGAAGTTGATGGCACAGATGACGATTTACCGCCACTGGAAAAGCTTCTTGATCCCGAGACTGCCAATCTGATCAAACTCATGGAACACGAAAAGCTTCCTTGTGACGAAGCTGATAACCACGATGATGATTCCGATTCCGATTACGAAAACGATGGCGATGATTCTGATGATGAGAGTGGTGAACATTTGAGTGCTGGGAAAGACAGTGATTCCACTCAGAAGAAAGGCAGCAGAAAGCCTCGACAAAAACCCGCCGCGAATGTTCGTGAATACGTTGCTCGTTTGCACGCAAAAGAAGACGAACAATTTGCCAAGAAAATGGAGCGAGAAGAATGCAGAAAGCCTGGTGCAAAGCCTCCACGCAAACGCAAGGTGACAGAAGGCGATGCAGGGTCGTGCAAAGCCCTGAAGATGGCAAATGGCCATTGTCTATTGCTGCCTGGCGACTGCTCGCCAGGTTCCGATGACAGCCCACTGCTCCCCATTGAGCCCATCAAAGCATCGACTCACGCCGAACAATTTGCTCAAATCACAGCCAGTATACCGCAAGATTGTGACACGAGGCGTGGAGGCACACAAAAGCGAGATCTGAGGGAAGCCGCGCAAATATTTGGCTATAGAAAGGTTGAAGCTCAGAATGGCGACTGGAAATTGAAAGGCATGGCGACGGCTATGCGGAGTCATCAGATTACGGCCGTGGCTTGGATGATGAAGAGAGAGCTGGCTCGGTCGGAACCACATGGCGGAATCTTGGCCGATGCCATGGGTATGGGCAAGACAATCATGAGCCTTGCCTGCATGATTGGGAATCCGCCAGATGACAACGACTGCGAAAAGTTTTGTAATGCCACTTTGGTGGTTGTGCCAAACAAAACAATTGCTCAGCAGTGGGAGAGCGAGACGCGGGTGAGTTGATCTGGAGCCAACGTCATACCCAAAGCTTCTAAGCTGACAGATTTTATAGAAACACTGCTTGCCACCGTACAAACATATGGTTTTCATATATGACCCAAAACGAGAAGATTTGCGAGAAATTTGCAGAGAAAACTTCATTGTGTGAGTATTGCGAGGTATCACTTACACTTCACAACTTTTGATAGCTGACTGAACTCAGCATTGTCACATACAAAGAAGTGTTTTCTCAGTACCCAAGCGATGATATCCTCCGGAAACTTCTTGAGAAGTATGACAGCGACGATGATTCTTTTAGGATCGAGTTGGACAAAATTTTGGGTACCGTGTTCCGTATCAACTGGTACAGGATCATCCTTGATGAAGCACATGCTATCAAGAATGCTGACAGCCGCAGTAAGTTTTAGTTCAAAATAATGACTGATTGAGATTGTCGTTAAAACTTTTCGAATTAGCTTCTAAAGCGTGTTGTGCGCTTGTCGGAAAATATCGCTGGGCCTTATCGGGTACGCCTCTGGCCAACAGCTCCCAGGGTGCGTGCCACAATTCAACACATGACTTGGATGGCATCATTTGCTAACGTTCGCAGAGTTGTTCCCTTACATGAAATTTCTGAAGTGTGAATGGACAGTGAGCCGCAAAGAATTTCGCTCAATGTTCTTTACAGCAACGGTAAGGGCTAAGCTATACACGATATAAGAACAATAGACTGACCACCACAGGATGAACCGAACCCTCAGTTTGTGGCATTGACTAGCCTCATGATGTATCGGCGGTGAGACTTCCCTCATATCATTATGTTGCATTGCGTATATGCTAATGAGGACCCAGGACTATCGATGATGAATTTCTAGGGCGGCAAATCGTCTCTCTTCCAGAGAGAAAAGAAGTTGATATTTGGGTTGCTCTGTCGAAAGAGGAACAAGCCGTTGTCGAGTGAGTCCAAAACGCTACCAAATTCAATTACATTGGCATCTCGATTGCGTTTTCCAATCAGTGCGAACCTGTATAAGTACTCACAGTATATACTAGTGCCGTGTGCAAACATTATATGCTCAGGCAAAAGCTTAAGGATCTGTCAAAGCTTGGATTGGGACTTGACGAAGTTGGGCCTGACGAAGGCCTTCCAGAAGAACGACAAAGCCCAAAAAAGGGCAATAAAAAGCCCAAATCTAAAAAGCCTTCAGAGAAGGGACTAGCATGGATTTTGCAACGCGCCAGCCAAGTGAGACAGCGTCAAACCATATCTCATATCTATTGCATTGAGCGTCTTCTCCGCAATGAGTTCTACCTTAAAGACCTCATCGAGTTGAGAGCCGCTCTGGAGGAAATCGGCGCCAAACAAACCATCTTGGAACAACTGCAGCTTGGCGTCGAAGAAGATACTGGTATCAAGAAATACCAAAAAGGATTGCAAATGATGCAAGAGCGAGAAGAGAATTTCTTTGGTAAATATCTCGACATGCGGCCGATCTTGGACATTTTGGGAGAAGAGGCGAGCGTGAAGGGTGTCGCTTGTCTTCTCTGCGGGAAGCCGCCAGTTGACCCGGTATTCTCTTATCAAGTAAGTCGAGAAACAAAAGCAAGCGATTCGTATTTTTATGCTGACTGAGATGAGTGTCCTCATGTTTACTGCACCAAATGTATTTGTGCAGCTCTCAAAAGCGATGCTCAAGGCGATCTAAACACAGTTGTATGTGTCTCACCTTCTCCGTGGTTCTGAAAAAAATGTTATTGCTGACTTGGTGGCGTAGATGTGTCTCCATGAAGGTTGTAACGAAAATCTGGGTATAGGTGAGGATATCGAAACCATTCAAAAGATCGTGGAAAAAGCCGAAGCAGATGGCAGTACATATCGCGAGCCTGGAAGAGACAGCATGAATGCTGCCGTTCACCAAGATGACGACCGAAACGGCTTCTTCATTGTCAGCACGTTTCTTGATGAAGTTCCCATCCTTCCTAGCACAAAGCTGACCGCGGCCATGGCTGTTTTGCTCACATGGAGGGATGAGGCACCGGATGACAAGGTTCTCAGTAAGTCCCCTAAAGTAGAAATTATGTGTGAGGCTGTAAATGTTGACACGGGTTTGTTTCTTGTTTGTGCAGTTTTCACTCAGTTTACTGGAACGGCAAAGATGCTGGGATTCATGCTTCAGACCCTCAAGATCGGATTCAGGTATTACTACGGTGGTCTTGCGCAGACGCAGAAGAGTCAAGCGCTGACGGCGCTAAGAGAAGATGATGGAATACAGGTTTTGGTAAGGAGTTTATCCAGTCGCTCTGCGTAGCCCTCCATCTTATTCTCATTTTACACGATCTAACCAGACTGTTATTTGAATAGGTTGCAACTTTGAGAAGCGGCAATCAATCTCTTAATCTCACAGTGGCGAATCGAGTGATCATCATCGACCAGTGGTGGAACAAGACAGCAGAACAACAAGCCTTTGGTCGCGTTGTTCGAATTGGCCAAGAAAAAGTCACCCACCTGGTGAATATCAAGACCAGGGAACCCATCGATGATCGCATCTACAGTCTCCAGAGGAGGAAGGCCAAGGATATCGACCGTACTTTGCAAGATGACGGCAAACCGCGGCCCCAAATGAACGAACTCGAGCTGGAGAAGGCCTTTTTACGCAAAAAGGCCGCGGAGGAGGAGAAGGAGAAGAATAAAAAAGCCAAATCCAAGGCTGGCAAGAAAAGTGCGGCGAAGGCTTCGCCCAAGAAAAATGATTGACCTGGGCTATATTAGATGGGTACATGAGCGTTCATTCTTTTACTTATTTTCACTTCCACGGAGCTGGGATTACGGGCGAAATAGTTTTTTCTTTGCGACAGATTCAGCACGGACACGAGGGTTTAAGATTATGGGCGAAAATTCTTTTGCTGCGAGACGCATTTAGCATGGGCGGCACGGGGAGGATATCTATCGGTCATTTGGTGATATTTACACATCTAGCTATCTAACACATGGGTTGGTCATGGATATTTGGGAGCACTGGATTTCACAGGTACTTGGTTTGCTGCCGTTTTGATGGAAAGACGGCCGAGATGATTGCTTTTAGGCTAGGTAGCCGAGCTGACTAGATCAGCTATTATGCGTCTCTTGAATCAAAAGTTTTTGCTTTTTCTTTATTCAAAACTGATTTGCTCTCTAGATCCGGTTTCATGCAGACGATTTTACTACAGAGACTACCTCATACTGACAGAGAGATGATAGAGCTTTTCCAACACCCGCCAGTTTTTACTCCTTCTCACCAGAGACACCATTTACAAGCGTCTCAGGATATCCTCGACAACCTCATCGGTGGTGGCCTTTCCACCCAGATCAGGGCTCAGCAGCTTGCCTTCCTCCAAGTTGGCGTCAACAGCGGCGTAAATCTTGGCAGCGGCCTCGGGCTCCTCAAGGAACTCGAGCATCAGAGCAGCACTTCGCAGGGTGGCAATGGGGTTGGCAATGTTCTTGCCCTGAATATCGGGGGCACTGCCGTGGCAAGGCTCACCAATGGCGAAGCCCTCACCGACGTTGGCGCTGGGAACGAGACCAAGACTGCCGACAAGAGCGGCAGCACCGTCGGAGAGGATATCGCCGTACAAGTTGGGGGCAACGATGACGTCGTAGGCTTCGGGCTGGCGGAACAGCTTGTAGACCATGGAGTCGACAATCTGCTCCTCGACAGAGACGGAAGAGTACTTTGGGTCGGACAGGGCGTTCTTGGAGGCAGTGCGGAAGAGGCCGTCGGTTTGCGACAGGACGTTGGACTTGTGGGTGATTGTGACGAGGGGCTTGCTGTGGATGCTGGGGGAGCTCTCGCGGATCTTCTGGCGGCGCAGCGCAATGTCACCAGCCATAGCAGCAATACGGAACGAGGCCTTTTCGGAAATGCGCTTGATGGCCTCGGCGACCTTGCCCTCGGGGGTGTCGCGGGTGGTCTCCTGCTTGACGTAGAGATCCTCGGTGTTCTCGCGGACAATGACCATGTCGATGGGCTTGGCGGCGGTCATGACGGTCTTGACGGGACGGACGTTGGCGTAGAGGTCGAGGCGCTTTCGCAGGGCGACAATGGGCGAGGAGTAGCCCTTGACGGCGTGGGTGGGCGAGCTGACGGCGCCGAAGAGCGCGCCCTGGCACTCGTTGCGCAGGACATCGACGGTGGCATCGGGGAGGGCGGAGCCGGTCTGCTCAAAGGTCTCGAAGCCGGCCTTGAGGTCGACAAAGTCGAACTTGAGCTTGAGAGAGGCGGGGAGAGCTTCGAGGATGCGGCGGCCGGCGGGGATGACTTCCTTGCCGATGCCGTCACCGGGGATGAGCCCTGCAAGTGGAAGATGGTTAGCTGGGAGGTGATATAGAAGGGAAAGAAGTGGTGAAGTATTAAGTTGAGTTGAACAAGATTCAGGGGGAGGAATTACCGATTCTAAGAGTGCGAATCGACATGGCGGGCGCAATCAATTGGGCTTTCTTGTCTTTGGTTGTGCGTGAGTAACTTTTTTTTTTTTTGCGACTCGAGTTTCGATTTTCAGCATCTAGATCCGAAGATCGGCGGGTTTATCCGAGCGCCATCAGAAACTGGACATTTTTAGTGGGGGTGGCATGGCGGGGGATTTTTTGATTGATAGCGCTGGGTGAGCTTGTGATTGAAGATTAGATCAGATGAATTATGGTGATTGTGATGGTGATGAATCGAGACAAAGAGAAACATGAAGGAACCAAGATTGTAAATCACAGGCGGTGCACGGACTGTTGCAATTGTCCGCGAGTTGCTTCTCCGCGAGTTGCTTCTCCGCGAGTTGCTTCTCCGCCTCCATTGGCGTATCACCAGCGCATGCAAGGCCCGTGTCGCGGAGTTTGATCCTTGTCCTTGCAGGGTGGTGACGGTGCTCACTATGACAACCTAGGAAGCCTATACGGAGTAACGAGATCACAGGATGTTGAATCCTGCGGTTGGGTCGACAAGACGGAGAGTTGTTGGTACCGATGGGCGAAGGGAAGCCAATCAATCCTAGTCATTGAGCAACATGGGAACCCCGGGCATAGCGGAGATGATGAATGTTCTCGTATAGGACAGATATATAACAAGCACTGGGAAGCTCACATGGACAAATGTAAGTTGGTTGTAGGATCTCTCATTTACATACCTATCTATTCTAAAGGCTGCACTCTTAAAGCTCGAAAACTTCATCTACCACAAGAGAATTAAACACAGCTCAGCATCATCCGCCATCATGTCTTCCGTCAGGCCTCCCTTTGACCCCGAAGTCATCAAAAATCTCCCTCCCGTCATGATCGATGGCTCTCTCACAGACTCCCTCCCCCTCGACGCTGCCGCCAGAGTCGCAGCTATACGTCAAACAGTTGTCCCAAATTCCAGCGCAATCAAGGCCAAAGTCCATTCCGATCCCTCGCTGGAAACTGAACGGGTAACCATCCCAGGACCTCGTGGAGACATCGACATCGTTATCATCAAGCCAAAAGGAGCCTCGAGCACCGACAAGCGGCCAGCCATCTACACCATACACCCAGGCGGCGTAGTTATCGGGGATGAATACCTCAATCTCGACTTGGCTATATCCTGGGCGAAGGAAATCGACGGTATCGTCGCCACTGTCAAATACAGGCTAGCTCCAGAGAACCCTGGCCTTGCACCCTTTGAAGACTGTTGGGAGGGCCTCATCTGGTTCGCAAAGCAAGCAGACCGATTTGGCTTTGATCCTGACAAGTTGCTCATCGGAGGTGCTTCTGCTGGCGGTGGTCTTTCTGCTGCGGTTGCATTAATGGCGAGAGACAAGGGATATCCCAAGCTATGCGGACAAATCCTCGTCTGCCCGATGCTGGATGATCGTGCCGATACGGTTTCCCACAAGCAATATCTGCGTCATGGGACTTATTCCGGAGAGTCGGACGAGTTTAGCTGGACATGTATATTGGGTGACCGCCGCGCGACGGATAAAGTCTCTGTCTTCGAAGCCCCAGGTCGAGCAACCGATTTGTCGAATCTTCCTCCTACGTATATCGATGTCGGGTCCGCTGAGCCCTTTAGAGATAGCGTTGTTGCCTATACGTCCAAGTTATGGGAGCATGGCGTGCAGGCCGAGCTGATGGTGTATGCTGGTGGATTGCATGGGTTCGAGCTCTTTGCTCCGGAAGCGAGTGTGTCGAAACAGGCTTCCGAGGCGAGGTTGAAGTGGCTCCGGCGCCTTATGGATCAGTTAAAATAAATATCATACAGACGTTTTGTCTGTTAGAAAGAGGCATGAGCAATGAATGGCAACATGTCATAACAGAAGCACATAAACATGAACATAGCGTTCCAGAACCGAGAGGCTTGAGGCAGTCAAGATGGAATACATCTAAAAACTTGATTCTCTGCATCACCACAACGTCGGCACCTCTTCTCCCCTCATCTCGCACCACCATCTAGCCTGCTGATACATCTCTCCCCCAGTGCCTTCTGTAATCATCCAGTATTTCTTCAGAAACCACGGCCGTACTTCCCAGCTTCGGATATCCCACGGCGCGCCAGAGTGTCCAGTGCCAGCCCCAGCACCGGACCCCCAACAAATCACTCCATCGCTCTGTAGATCGTGACAGAGCTCTTCCATGTTGATGATACTGGGCTCAGCATTAATTAATGCTATTAACCGCTCTCGGAAAGTCCGAAAGGGGAGAGCGTCGATGTAGGGGTGATGACGTTGTGTGAGTTGGTTCTGGGTGGGCTTCAGGTCGTCTTTTATATCAACATATGCAACTTGTTCTGCAATATCTTCCATTCCACCTAACGCTTTCCTTGATGCAAAAAAATGAGATTCAGTGTCGTGTGCAAACATTTCTGGTGCTGATATGCCCAGCATGGTTGCGTTATATAGAACAGCTGCTACAAACGACATTTGCGTGATGCGGATTGTATTGGCGTGAAGATCGGGGAGCTGCACTATTTATCCCTTGTTAGAACAACATGATGAAATAGTCGAGCCGTTCGATTCACCTTGTGTAGGCTTGCGCCCTTGTAATGAACCATCAACCATCCTCGTGCTGTTCAAAGGGCTGTCTGCGTCTCTTTCCAGTGACTGGAGGCCCTTTCTCAGAATGTCCTTGAGGGTTATCTTATTTGTGCGGATATTCTTTAGCAGTGCTCTACTCAGAGTAATGTCATCCTGTAGAAGGAACTGAGCGAGTAAAGTATCTGTTTCGTCCCTCGCCGGTGATTGGCTCTTGAGGACGTGGATGTTGTGTGACTGAAGAACGCCCGGCGGCATCGAGGGTGAATTAAATCCGCTCCCCGGTGTTATGGACTCGGAGCCGGATGGGGCAGCCAGCGGAGTTGATGCGGAAAACAAGTCCTCTCGGAATGATCGACCGGCATTCAGGGCACCATCCGCTTGATAATCCAGACTAGGCGTATATCTGTACATGGGAGCTGGCCCGCCGGTCTGGTAGCTCAAGGCAGACGAACTGAAGCTCGGGCCGCATCCTACAAAGCTTCCCATTCCTGTGGTAGCGGCCGAGCCGAGATCATGAGGCTGCATCATCCCGGCCAATCCCATGATAGGCGAGTCCGCGGCCAGCAGGCCGGCCATGGTTTGGCCAATGGTGGACGTCGGGGTGGACGAAGACGGCGCATCGTGAGCAGCAAGTGTCTGAGACTTGGCAAACGACTCTAGAGCCTGCAGTCGCTTCTTCTGCTTCTCTCCTATTCGGTTTCAGCTCATCATTAGCGGATCGCTTGTCGCTTGCTTTTGCTTTCCTAAGCCACGAAGGATTTCGGGTTGTACTAACTGTAAGTCTTTTGTGCTTGGCGGTTCTGAATACGTCTTCTTTCGGACGTCTTTAGTTTCTGTGGCCCTCCATTCGGGGATCTTGGAGTGGTGCGCTTCCTTCCACTTGACCCGCTGCTGCTGCCATCATTTTGCATCTCATCAGCAGAGTGCTCGCTGTTTGGTGTCGTAGAGTCGATGTGCTCCATTGTGATCAACATGTACGAAGGTGCCGTCATCAAACGAAGCACCAGAGTTCAAAGGTAGCAGCGTGGGGGCGTTGATGATGGCAGCTATCGGTCTGTGTACCACCGAGGAGTTGTCGAATTCAGCGACGGCCGGCAAAAGCTGATGAGGTGAGCCTGTCTGTATAGGGGAGTTGATGAGGTGAGCAACCTGCGTCTTGGGCCCGCTAAATAGAACAGACTCAAAGACGATCCACTCTTCTATTGAATAAGCAGAGCTGAAGGGAAACTCTGTCGGTTGTCTTTGTAAGGGAAATTAAGCCGTTTGTGCCAACCCAAGAACGAGTGCCGGGCTACAAGTAGGTTATTAATATATGACTGAGCAGCCCAACAAGGCAACAAACGATAAAAGGGGATAAAAGAGGATTAATTAATACAGAATAAGAAGAACTGGGGCTGCTCGGAATAGGAAGCATAAGACTGGAAGAACAACGGCGACGGTAAACCCGAAACGAAAAAAGACGGCGAAGAAACCTTATAATACGAGTAAGTCGATTCGATAATTAGCGCGCGCGATACATTCTTGTCACCCAAGTCCGCCTATTTTAGCGGACTTTGACAGGGAGCGAACGGGCCAAACAGTGGAATCGACGATCTATCTCCGGTAATGACCGTTATCCACCGTCAACATATGCCTATTTCTAGTATGCAGCGAGAGTGTTGGCCTGGTAGACAACTGGAGACTCAGACAAGGCTTAATCCATGATCGACCTCGAAAGGAAATAATATTCGAATCTGGTCATAATCTGCCTGGATTCTGCCTAACAGATCTCAGGGACAATCGGGCCACAGTCTAAGACTAAACCTGGAATCGTACAGACCGCTCCGTTGGGACGTTTAGAACTGAAATGACCCCCCTTACAAAGGCACAATGGATGATGATACGTTGACTTGGCATGGATCTTTGGGTCTTTACGGAATTTATTCCGTATAATACTATAGAGTCAGAGTACATGAGTCACTAGTTGATCCAGTTCATGTTCTTTCTGTGTAAGAGGGTGACCCATCAGGAGATAAGGCGTCCTCCTCATTTGCTCTCAAGTGCCGGGGTGTCAGCGAATAGATGATCCGAATGGCTTCGGATAGTGTTAGAGTTGAAACTAAAGATCGTAGTAAAGAGGAGTTCATCAAACTCACGCATCTGAATAGCGACCCCCAATAACTTCCGTCTCGTCAATGGCCTTGCGGATCTCCGCATCTTCGTCCGTGCTGAGCTCCACGTTGACGGCCCCCAAGTTCTCTTCGAGATACTTGATCTTCTTAGTGCTACTCAACCGTTAGCCTATACTCCGTAGGATTTTCCACTACTATGCTTGTTTCCATAACAGGCATGACAAATCATACCCGGGGATGGGGAAGATGTCAGCGCCCTGTGCCAGCAGCCACGCTAACGTCAACTGTCCGGGCGTCACGCCTTTACTGGTGGCAATGGTCTCAATCTTTTCCACCAATGCAAGGTTTTTCGGGAAGTTCTCTTTTGAGAACCGTGGGAGACTCTTCCGGAAGTCGTCGGCGTCAAAGTCGTCCGGGGACCTGATCTGTCCCGTCAACATGCCGCGCCCCAGGGGGCTGTAAGCCACGACCGCAATGCCGAGTTCCCTTGCCGTGCGAAGGATATCGATCTGGGGCTTCTCAATGTCTACAGAGAAGGGGCTGTACTCAACCTGGATTGCGGTGATCGGGTGGACGGCATGCGCGCGCCGAAGGGTCGCCGCCGAGACTTCACAGAGTCCGAGATGTCGGATTTTCCCCTGCCTAACGACGATGGAGCGTCGGTTATTTTAGTTCGATGAGAGCGCACGGTTGGGAATGAATGGGTCTAACTCTTTTAATTCAGCTAGAGCCTTGATGGTAAGCTCAACTGGGGTCTCCTTATCGACCCGGTGGAGGTAGAAGAGATCAATATGAGAGACACCCAGCAACTGGAGTGACTTATCACAAGCCTGTCGTACATATTCGGGATCGGAACGAATCGATGCTTTTCCAGTTGAAGGGTCGTAAACACCGCCGCATTTCGTGGCAAGAAAGATGTCGTCTCGTTTTCCGGAGTGCTTGAACCACTTGCCAAGCAATTCCTCGCTATCGCCGTAGACATCCGCAGTGTCCCAAAAGGTGTTGCCTAATTCGTGGGCACGGTCTAGAACCTTGAACCGGTCTTCGTCTGAACCTCCAAACCCGTACATGGAACTAAGACCCATGGCCCCAAAGCCTATTGTTGAGACAAGAGGGCCGTTGCGGCCGAGAGGCTTGGTGGGAAGTGTTGCAGGGGCCATTGGTGGAGTGTATGACGAAGAGTTTCAAAGGTGCAATGTTCAAAGAGTCAGTTGTTCAATCTAAGAAGACTACGTCCTGTTTATAAAGATTGTATGATTAAACTTAGAAATTTAACTGAACAGCATTACACGAGGTTTTGCTCATCTGCTTCTCAAAGCATTAGGTTTGCTCTCAGGTTGCTTAGTTGATTCGTTCATCAAGCCACATGCTTGCTGCAGTGATGTTTTTTTGATCAAGTAAACTGCGGGTTTTGATCCGCATGTGCGGGAAAAGGCCGACGACAAAGCCGATTTGAACATCTGTTCAGCACTACTTGCCCGTTGTCTCGCTCACCTAATCAATCCACTTGCTCACAACACTCATTTGCCTAGGCTTCTTTGTTTAAAGAAACAAAACTGCTCCTCTTTCATTTCCTTTTTTCTTCTCTTTCAACACGAGGTCAGATGCTCGTCGAAATACCGCACCCCCAGCATTCGGCGATATCTCACAGGGGGGATCCGGCTCTCGTCAAAGGCAGCAAGGTACTCATCTGATAAAAACCCAGACGGGAGCTTACGGACCCTCTTCCGCTTACTTGTCTCTCTTTCCTCTTGCGTTCCCAGTTGTGTGTTGTCCCTGTCGAGTCATGCGTATCCAATATTCAGAATAGGCACGAGTCGTCGCCGGGCTGAAGTAAACGATGATCGGAATCGAATAAGCGGCAATAGTAATCCCTGCTATCGCCATTTTTTGCCGTTTTGAGACCCGCCAAATGCCGACTCACCGGGCGCCGAACTAGGCGAATTAGGCGAAATGATTCAACATAATCCCTGCTGCTGTTGTTGTTGTCGTTTGAACTTGTTGTGGCAATAGTCATGAGACAACATGGATTTGTCCCAGATTCAATGGGCACGCTGAAAGCCGTTGTTCAAAACAGGATTATATGTGTAAAATGATGTGAAAGCGCTCTTGAAGACTTTCGTCTTATTGGCCTTTATGAGATGAAAGACGCTCTTTGTCTAACAGTGCACAAAGCACATGTAATTTAGACCGTGATCTGACCTTGCCCAATGGCGATGTCTGATTGTTCAGAACAAAGCTTATCTACTAAATTGAAAAGTTTGGGAATGACTTGTATCGATTCTTGATTCGTTGAACGTCTAGATTGTGAACAACGGTTGGGTTCTTCATCAGCCGGGAGTCAGGGACTGCAGCATGGCCTCTTTGTCAGTTTTTCTTCAGCAGCCGGGACTGCAGTGTAGCCTCTTTGTTTTTTTTTCTTCAACAGCATTCCAAGGGACTAATCGTTCAGGCTCTGCACAGATAAAGCATGAAGCTTGTTCATGATGAGTAGAACCAATGGTAGAGTTACCACCTTTGTAAACAAGTCCAGCCATCGCATCATCGTTCTGTTCTTCAGCGGCCAGATTGACACATTTATACCACATGTCGTCCACAATCCAATAATTTTGGTGGCGTACCGTTAAAAATGAAATTGCTCCGAAAACTGTTTTCTCAATCCACCATATTCAAGCAATTCCGTATATTGAGGTCAGCTTCTGTGCCGTGCAACATGGCCAACGTGGTACAGCCCGTTAGGACTTCAGACACAGAAGGTTGTATGTTTTCATTGTCTGGAGTTCGATATTTGGCATCATGCCCCAAAAGAGTAAGACACCCTGAGCGATGATCCCCAGCACTACATCTCCTAATGAGCTAATCTCTTGCAGTGTCCAGATATTCATCAGCCCATACCCGATTCAAGCTTGATTACTGTATTCCATAATCCTCCAAATAGAGAGAGAATAACCTTACCTTGGCTGCAGCAACGTTTGGAAGAATATGGTAAAGATGATGTATTCGACAATGCATTTCTTGCCAATATCATATTTTTCGACGCGCATATGACTGGTCGGCCTATTGGGAACCAAGATGCCGAGGCTTTTCTCGCAGAGTCTGGCACGATTGCAGTATACTTTTTCAACAACGAGATCGCTTTGGCACCTGGTCCATATATGAAATTGGATGGGCAGTTATGGGAAGTATGCAGGCTGGTGGATGACTCATACGAGACTTGTATGGTTGCTTTGAAACCGCAACAAAAGTATTGATCAGGTTCAACATGAGGAGATTGAAGACATACTAATATACTCTCAGCTTATTGGGCTCGTTTGAGCGTCTTTCGATAATGGGTCAAGATAGCAACGTCCTCAGTTTCGCTATACCATCTCAACTCAAATATTCTATTCCGAATCAACAGTTACCCCTAGCTGGAAAGCGTATCCTCATTAAGGATAACATTCATTTGGACGGTATCAAGACATCTAATGGCAATCGCGCCTTCTACGAGACATACCCTGCACAAACACAAACTGCCAGCTGCATTCAAAAATTAATCGATAAAGGCGTTGTTGTTATCGGAAAGACGAAAATGTCTTCTTTTGGAAATTGGGAGGAGCCCATTCAATATACAGACTACCCGGCCCCATGGAATCCCAGGGCTGACCGTTATCAATCCCCAGGAGGTAGCAGTTCGGGCAGTGCTTCGGCTGTTGCAGCCTACGAGTGGCTTGACATTGCTATTGGTACCGACAGTATGTAGCAGACACTTTGTTTACACACTATGAAAACTAGCTAACGTTGGGTTAATTGACAGCTTGGGGGAGCGTCACCAGACCTGCTCACTGGTGTGGCTGCTTTGGCCTCCGTCCCAGCCTCGAAGCGATTTCTGCAGACGGCATTGTGCCCTGCGTCAAGTAAGTACATTTGACCTGATGCTCGCTCAATTACATTGGACTGACCCCTGAAGGTCTTGGGATATTCCGGGAATTCTGGCAAGAAACCTGGAAGATTGCAAACATTTCGCCGAAGAGTGGCTGGATTTCAGCAACAACAAATTTAAGGAGTATCCACAGGTATGTCCTACTGCGAATAATTGTGCTTACGATACTGACATGCACATAGGAATTCTCTTGTCTCCTCTGGCCCACTGATTTCTGGGAAAATGTTGAAGCCACGGAAAAGGAAATGGCAAAGAAATTTGCCAAGAACATGGCTGACAAACTAGGGGTATGCCTTAGAGAGTACTCATTCGAAAACTGTTGGGAAGAAGAGGGACCAGAGGGGTGGCGGAAATATTCCTTGCAAGAATTTATGAAAGAGGTATGTTGTTCGCCACCAGGTACTAACACCTCATTACATTGGATTCTAACGTATCTCTAGACTACCCAGGCTATGGCGTACGACAGTTTTAACAGTAGCGAGGACTTTCGTACTAAATATAAGGAGAAGAATGGTGCAGAACCTTACACGTCGAAGCCAAACGAGGATACTTGGTAAGCTCAACTTTCATACATTGTATAAACGCCCCCATCGTCTGACGCAATATTAGGTCTATCGGAAAGAAGACAACTCGTCGAACCAGAGATGATGCATTTGCAAGAATTGATATTTACCAACAATGGTTCAAAGATCATTATTTCACAGACGAACGCAAAAAAACCATAAGTGTCATCATAGTACTGCCCCTCGATATAGCAGGCCCTCGATACAGAGATAACTGCCCTAGAGATGACGATCCTAGTGATAACGACCCTAGTGATAACAATCATCGTGATAACGATCATAGTGGTGGCTTTTCTAGTGACCACGGTCATAGGGATAAGCGTCCTGGAGAGGGCTCCCACAGCAATCACGAATCCATCAATGGTCACATGTACTTCAGCTTTTGCGACCCCATCTTCCGCTCCTGGTACCCCGACTATGGTTGCCGCCCCAGGGACAGATGTCAGGGCAAGTGTCAGGACAGGCGTCCCAATGTTAATCGTCACCAAGGTAATCGTCACCAAGAGCACCATCACCTGGATCACCAAGATGATCATCACAAGGACGACCGTCCGAAGTAAGGCATATCTTTGTTTACTACTAGTAGCTATTATTTTACGCCCGATGAAAGCTAACTCAGGTGCAGTTTCCGAAGACCACACCAATCAGGTATCAACGCTTTGGCACTTGGGCCTGTCATGGGAGCCCCTGTGCTCACTGTTCCAAGTAAGATTACAAAAAATGAAAAGTACTCAGACCTTTTCTAATCAAATGCAGTTGGCCAAATACCGTACCATTCAAGAATCAGCAAACGACCCGAGCAATCACCATTTGCGGTTGCTCTGATGGGATCACCTGGTACGGATATGGAATTATTCCTTGTGATCGCTTTTGCTAACCAAGAGACACAGGCACTGATATCAAGCTAATTGACAATGCCATATTTGCCATGGGATGTCTGAATATTCCCACAAAGGTCAAAACAGGAAAACGCATGTACTGTACTTAGATCATGTAGTGTTTTGGATTTTCTGCTTGGTAATACGCTTGGTAATGTTAAAGAACTTGTTTCTCATTGGCCAAGTTACGGACGGTGTTGCTATTCACAGCTTAAGGTAGTTAGTTAGTCTTTGGAACCGGCCTCAACACATGCAGGCTGCGCATGACTCATTCGTTGCAAGGGTCGGATTGTTGGCTCTGGATTTTCCAAGGTCATTGGCGTAATAATTAGACAGGTTATGGAGTCCATCAATGCAATTTATTCTCGATTAGTTACTGGCATGTTGAGTGAATCGGCGATATTGCATCGGAGTTATGAGTGAGGTTGTAATTTTCAAGCTGCCAGCGCTACCTTGGAGACAATTGTGGGTTAATTCTGCCGGATACGCCTAGTGCGCAGCTGAGCTCATGCATCTTGTTACTAAGATTGGAATGGAATCCGAACAACAACGTGAACGGAAAAAGAGATGCGGAAAAAGAAATCCGGAAAAGGGGCTCGGCAGAAATCAAAAACTGATGCCTGGAAAGGTGAAGATATGACAGGAGATATTGTGGATAGGTAGTATACATGTATGTAACCTCAGAATGACAAAATA